ATGGGAGAATCAGTTCAGAACAGATCCGAGACCCGAACGGAAGAGCTGAGATTGCAAAACTCGTAGAAGAAAGTGGGGGGGCATCTCTGTGAGCTGTTTCTTCTTCGGCCACGATTTCTTGGTTCTGACTCCCAAAGCACAGGCAAAAGAGATTCGTTGTATCGACACGAAAACCTTCCCTGCGTCAAAGGCCGTCATCGAAGCGTTAGAAGGCGGCCACGGAGTGGAGAAAACATTTGCCAACCTTTACACTAATATTCGCAACAGCAGCGAAAGCCCCCCACCAGCCCCACTCAGAACCGGGCCACGGGCGCGAACACACGTCGCCCCTAAGAAGCTGCGCCAACAGCGAACGGACACGCGGAGCGATTCTCAGCGTCCGCCGCCCTGAGCCCATTGCCAGTCAGGGCCACGGGGGGGGGGGGCGCTGCGTCGCCCCCGCGGGGTGTGAAACCAGCGGGTGTGGGCCCGGCGGGGTCTCAGGGCCCCCAGGGACCCTGCTGCTGTGCCGGGGCGGCGGGGGGCGGGGGGGGCGTCGTCCCGTGAGTCCTGAGAAAGTCCCACGGAACCGTGGCGCGGCCCAGCAAGTCACCCCCAGGTGTAGACAGAAGCAGGGACCCAAACAGATACTTGCGCCCCCGTGTTCACGGCGGCATTAGTCACAGCACGCAGACGGTGGGAGCAGCCGAGAGCCCACGGGCGGAGGCTGGACACACAGTACGTGGCCCGTCCACAAGGAGGGAATCTCGACCCCCACTGCAGCGCGGAAGGGCCCTGAGGCCACTGCGCTGAGTGGCTGAGCCAGACACAGGCGGACAGACGCACGTGACCCACCGGCAGGAGGTCCCTGGAGGAGGCGGAGCCACGGAGACGGGACGTGGGGCGGGGAGCCAGGGCTGGCGGAGGGGCGGGAGCGAGTGTTCCGTGCGCGCCCTCCGTTTGCGAAGATAAAACCGCTCCAGAGGTGGACGGTGGTGAAGGTCGAACAGCACGGCGAACGGACTTCATGCCACCAGATGCACACTTAAGGGGGTTAAAATGGTGACTCTCGTTCCCCTGTGGCTTCCCTGCTTTAAGTGCTCAGCGCCCCCCAGATCCGGAGCAGACCCCCAGTCCTCCGCTCACCTGACAGAGAGCACCCCCATCTCGAGCTCCATCGCCCCCCAGGCCCCAGGCCCCAGGCCCCGCCAGTCGCCAGTCGGGGTGCTCTCAAATCCTCCAGGGGGCCACAGTGGGTTCCCTGCCCCTCCTATCCCCTCCCTGGCGGAGCTGATCCGAACTTTGCTGGCGCCCCCCCTTGCCTCCCCTCCGCTCAGTGGTCGCCTCGCCCACAGGGCTGCCAGCCCCTCCAGGCCCCCTCAAGGCCCCTCCTGCTGCCGAAAAGGCTGTGCGGGCTGCGAGCCGGAGGGGCGGGCCCTGTGCTCTCCTAGTCCTGGGGAAACCGTGCCCAGGGCTCATCACAGTGTGCTGGAAGGACGACTTAGGAGGGAGGGAGGGAGGGAGAGGAACAGGACAGAAGCCCCTTTCTCAGGCCCCCTTTCCCAGGGCCGCTGGCCCCCATCGAGCTCGACTGACCCTCAGTGTTTTAGGAGCTTCTGTGCTCCAGGCTAGGACATTCCTGGAAGCGCCCTGAGGGCGCGCAGGCTCCGGAGGGAGCAGGCCGCGCCAGACCTGGGAGGCAGCCCTGGGAGGGGGAACGCCCCGCCGCTGGACCACCCCGGCTGCCCAGTCGGAGCTCCGAGGCTCCACCCGGGGCTGGTGCATGCCTCCACACCCAGCCCCTCCCTCCGCTGGGACAGTCCGTGAAAACTGCTCTCTGCACTTCGTCCCCTTTGCAAATTCTTGCCCCCGACCCCCCTAGAGGGGGACGGGCCGGGGAAGGGATCTGTGGGAAGGCCAGGCAATCAGAGACCGTAGGCGTGGGGTCACAGTCGTCACGAGGGGTGGAGGGCCTCTTGGGAGAAGGTCTGCAGCCCTGGGCAGGGCCCGTCTCACTGCTGAGCAGCCCTGGGACCAGGCGGCCCAGATGGAGCGTGACCTGCCCATCCCCCAACCTCACTGCCCAGCAGGGCTGCCACAGCCCCCTCACTGCACCCCACATCCCAGCACAGGGCAGAGATGCTTAGTAACGTCAGAGCGGGCCACGATGGCCCAGTGTGTCCTCCACCCATCTCTTCTGGACCAGGCTGGTGCCCCGAGTCTCGCTGGGAACACCCCGAGTGTGTTCGGGGCAGGGGCCGGGCTGGGCCACCCCAAGGCCCAGGGCTGGGGCATTTCCCCGCCTGGACCACCCAGCCCTGGACTTGTCTATCTTAGAGCCCACTGGTCACACCACTGGGCCGTTCAGCTCACCGGGACTGTGGCCCTTGGCACAGAGCCCAGGGCTGCCGGGCCCTCAGGGCCACCCCCTGTCCATGCGGCCCCTGAGGAGCCGGAGGCTGCAGGTGTGTGAAGCCCCGCCCCCAGCACGGCTCTGAGCTACCCTGCAGCCAGCCACACCTGCGACCCCCAGGGCTGTGCCCGGTCCTGCAGACCCTCCATGGTGCCCGCGGGACAGCTGGGCGCGCAGCCCGCACTTCATTAATGCCTGAGGCCGGCGGCACCCAGGGCCCGTCGTCCTGAAGTCCGCACTGCAAGTGGGAGTGGGGGGCGGCTGAGAGGCCCTTGTCCACCGGGGCTGAGGGTGGGCTGGGGAAGCCTGCCTCTGAGCCGGTGGGGGGTCTTCAGTCCAGTCACCTCTGGACTCTGTGGGGCCCAGGGAGGCTCCCCGTGGCGGCCGCCCCTGGGCTGGAGGAGGGGCGGGCGTGCCCGACACGGGCGCTTCCTGGCACTGCACGGAGCTGCGGAGTTGCCGGCGGCCCTGGCCCCGGCCCTCCCTCCCGGCAGCCGGCCCCTGCTGCCTCTGTTCTGGGCTCCCTCAACTGTGAAGGGGTAAACTCGCTGAGCAAACAGGCTGGGCCGGGGCGCATCCGGGATGTCTCAACAGCCGGGACCCTGCGGCCGGCACGTCTCTGCCATCTGTGCCGTGAGGCGCCCGGGGAAGTGTGAGCTGAGGGCCCCCACCCGCGTGGAGCCCACCAGCCCGCCGCGGCGGGGGAGGCGGAGCGGTGCCGTGCCCCCGGGGACCCAGACCGGGCTGCCCGAATCGGGCTGGCGGGTCCCCCCGCCCCCCCTCCGCCCCGTGCTGGCCACTGGTGGTGGCAGGGCCACGCGCCCGTCCCCGGGGGCACGACAGAGGGCGCGGGGCCGGCAGGGCAGGAGGTGGGAGCCCGGCGGCAGGCTGACCGCGAGCCCCTCCCCAGGCCTCAGCCGGTTCATACCCCACAGCCCCCTGGGGGTCCGGGCGCTGTGCACCACCACGCTGACCCCCACCCCAGGGACTGGGCATCACTGAGCACCGGCTGTTTGGCGGGGGAAGGACAGGGTCGGCCGGGGCCTGGGCGCAGCCTCCAGCCCTGTCCCGCAAGGACTGCCCAGCCCTCCCTCAGAGGGCCCTCACGTCGTGCCCTTCTGCCCGCGTGGGGGGGACAGCGGGGCTGGGTGTGACAGAGCTTTGGAGACCCCAGGCCCCCCGCCCTGAGCCTGCCACCCGGGGAAGGACAGCAGCGATGGGGCCGGGGTGGCCGGAGCAGCAGGGTCCCTGGGTCCTGGGCTGCAGGGAGGGGTCCCAGGCCTCCCAGGGGGCCCAGGGCCCAGGTGTGCAGGCAGGGCCATCGACCCAAGCAGGCCCAGCAACCACACGGCGACAACTCTGGCCTCGGTGACACAAACACCAAATCGGGGTGGGGGTCCCAGGTGCCCCCTTCTGTCCATCACACAGACCCACCCAGAAACCGCCCACCGCCCGCCCGAGGGGCTGCTCACGGCGGGGTGGGGGGGACCCTGTGCTTCCCACCCGGTCCCTTCCGAGGGACGAGGCGAGTTGCGGGGTGTGCGTGACAACCCTGTGACAACAGCCAGAGCGAGAAGGCCGGGGTGGTCGTTACCACGTGACCCCGAAACCCGACTGGCCAGCTGGGAAGCAGGGCTGCCGTGGCTCCGACTTGGAGCAGGTCCCGGCAGGGAGATCCCCCATCAGACCCCATCAGACCTGCTGGGGCCCCCGGACCCCAGGCGGGTCCAGGGACCCTGACCTCGGGAGCGAGGGGGGGTCACCTGGGACTCCGGCTGGGAGCCCCCGCCCTGCCTGGACCAGGGCAGCGGGGGACAGGTACCAGCCAGTTCTGAGCGGCAGGACCAGGATGTCTGCTCTCAAGGCCCCATGTATTTCCCCTTGAACTCGAGCTTGGGAACACACAGGAGCCCAGAGACCTACAAGGGGCACTGGACGGCGTGTGGGGTTCCGAGGCACGAGCCTCCTCCTAGGACCCCCAGAAGCGGCGTCGACCGGGTACCCCGCCCTCCACGTCTGACCGGCCACACCCCCCAGCTGGGCGGCAGAGCCCAGGGCCCTTGCCTGGCCAAGCGCGCAGTGAGCTCTCGGCCTCGAAGCCCCTCCCCACCCTGGGACTGGTGGTGGGCCCAGGCCTGCTCCCCTCAGACCCCCTCAGACTTCCTCAGCCTCCGCCAGGCTCTGGGGGTGGGGGGGCTGGACCTGGGGCTGAGTGTGAGGCCGCTGCCGACTGCCCTCCCCCACCGAGTGGGGGGCGGGCTGCTGCATGCGGACCCTCCTGGGTGGGCTGCCTGCAGGAGCTTTGCCGGCGGGAAGGGCTGCCAGTGCCACTGCCCCGGTGTGGCTGCGGGTGGACAGGCACCCCCTCTCCCCGCCGGTTCTCGGAAGCTGCTGGGGGCGGGAGTCCTGGGCTCCGGGGCCGAGCCGAAACCCTTCCTCCTCCGCACCGCCTTCCTGTTCGGCCCATCCCCGAGAGCAAACACACGTGGCTGGCGAGGCGGACGGGACAGTGCCCCCGTGGCCAGGAGCCGGGCTCAGGGCCAAGCCTGGCCGCTATATAAGCCCCGGAGCCCCCAGGGGAGCGAGCACCTTGCCCCACTCCCTCTTCACCACCCGCCCACCAGTCGCCAGGATGGGCCCCCCAGGCGGGTGCCGGGCACTGGCGTGGGCCCTGCTGGCCCTGCTCCTGGTGCAGAAGGCAGGTAAGGTGGCACCCTCACCCGGGGTCCCAGCCCGGGGCTTCGCCTGCTGAGAACCACAGGCAGGACCGCACCCCGTGTGTCCCGGAGACGCTGGGTGCCCCGGGGAAGACGCCCAGAGGGTCTTGGCCTCTAGGATTGGGCGGGGCGAGTGCTGGTGAGCAGGCCGAGTCTGGGGGTCTCCCCGCGGCCCGTGAGGCCCCCATCAGAGTGGGCAGGGGCAGCCGCAAGCACCGGCCCTGCCCGACGGTGCCCCTCCATTCTGCCCTCGGGGAACGGAGGTCCCTCCCGGACACGGGGCTGCCGCGGGGTGAGCAGGCGGCCCAGCAGCCGGGAGCCACCTCCGTCCCCCGACACCGCACCTGCTGCTCAGCCTTCCTCAGCCGCCCCTGTCTGCCTGTCTGTCTGTCTGTCTGTCTGTTGCCCCCCCACCCCAAGGCCCCCTGGCCCCGAGCTCCTCGGGAGCAGCAGGAGCCCTAATACTCACAGTCAGCGAGGAAGATGCGGCCTCAGGGGCTGCCTGGGCGACACCTGTCCCCGGCTGCACCAGCTCCCACAGGCTGCCCCCACAGCGCCTCCCCCTGAGCTGAGGGTCTGGGCGGGTGACAGGGGGGTGGTGAAGGGGGGCGGTTGTCTCCCCGAGCCCCTGCCCTCGGCCCCCTTTCTTAGGTGAGCCAGAGGGGGCCTTTCCCACAGCACCTCCTCGGGGGGGTAGGGGTGCTGGGACGCACCGGTGCACAGCGGTGCGCGTCCGGCCTGCTGTTCCGTCCGGGGTGCCGGTTCTCGCAGCTGTGATCCCACTCGGGGCAGCTCCTCCAGGCTCCTGGGGGTCTGCCAGCCCCGGGCCCTGCCCCTGAGGGGGGCCTGCGGTGAGCCCCGTCTTACCCTTCCCTCGCTTCCTTCTTCTCGGGGGCAGATCCCTCGAGGCGAGGTGGGGGCGGGTGCACGGTGGTGGGTGGGGTCCCCGTGGGCTGCAGCCTCCGTCAGGGCTGGGTGCGGTGGGCCCTGAGTGGGCGGCCTTCATGCCCAGGGATGTGCAGTGATGGGGGTCGCTGGGGGGCATTTCTCCGGTGAGGGATGGGGGCCCCGGCTCACCGGGCACCCCCCCGCACCCAAGGAGGGCCCTGCGTGGAGCCGGTCCTCCTGGAACACCCAGGAGGTGGGCACACCCAGAGGAGGGTGCGCCGTGTGACTGGGGTTCTCTTGACGGGGCCGGGACAGGCAAGAGGGGCGGCGGGTCAGGGGTCAGGTGGACAGACGGGCGGAGGGTGCGGCTGGGCCCCCGGGTGAGGGCAGGTGGATGCGGGGCCAGTGCCGAGGGTGTCAGGTGTCCGTGGTCTGGCCGGGAGAGCCGGACGGGAAGCAGCCGTCGCTGCGATGGCTGCCACGGGGACTCGGGGCCCCACCCTGCCCCACCCCCCCATGAAACGCAGGCATGAGTGAGAGACCCCTCGCAGGTTTGGGGAAGGGGTCCTGGGCCATGTAAAGGGACCCCCACACACACACACCAGCCTGGCCGTGAGAGGCCTGGGGCCTCAGGCCTGTCCACCAAGGCAGCGAGAGGTCACCGGGGCTCAGCCCGGGTCAGGATGGCCGGGGAGGCCCTGCCCGGAGGTGGCGGACACAGGCCACCCCAGCCACCCCAGCCCTGGGGCTCCGGGCCCCCCGCCGCCAGGCCCGGTGGCTCCCGCCCACCGGGAGCTGCCCTGGCCGTGGGTTTTGCTAAGTCACGCCCGGCAGCCTCCCCAGCCGAGTGTGCCCTTCGCCCCAACAAAGCCCGTCTTTGTCCGCCCCCGAGGGGTGGGGGTGGGGCTGAGCCCTCTCCCCGAGGTGGCCGGGGTCAGCGGGGCCAACGCCTCTTCCCGGTTCCACTCTGCTGTCCTGTCACCTGCGAGAGGAGGGAGAGGGGCCACAGCGAGTTCTCGCAGGCGGGATGGGGGGCGGTCAGCACGAGGACACTGCAGAGGTGCCGTCCCTGCCAGAGACTCCCACTCGGGGCGGGGGGGGGCTTGCATTGTTCTCTCCCTCTGGGTTGCCTGGAGGCCAGAGCCCGCTCCCGCGGCTGCCTCCCTGCAGCCCTCGGAGAGCGGCCCCTGGGTCCCCGGACGGGCCGCCGGGCAGCAGGGGCGACCTGCCTGGCCTCTCACTGACCTCCTCCCCTGTCCCCGCAGAGACGCAGGACAGCCGGGAGCTGAGCTGGGCGGGCACAGAGGCTGCCAAGAACGGTCAGAGGGTGGACACGGGTACTCGGCCCGAGCGGGTGGAGGGGCACGGGCGGCAGGGCCCGGGCGGCGGGGACAGACCCTTCCCCACATCAGCTCCGAGAGGCACGGAGGCCCTTCCCGGGCCCCGCCTGCCCGGGGGAGGGGACGGCGGGGGGTGCTGAGCGAGAAGAAAGGAATGGAAGATGCATGGCAGATGCTCAAGTGCACACACATGCCCACACGCACCCACACACTCACACATGCATGCACCACGTGCGCACATGTCTACATGCTCCACGTGCACACACGCCTACATGCTCACACACACTCGTGTGTACGTGTATCTGCATGGTCCGTGTGCACACGTGCACACATATTCACACATGTGTGCACACACGTGTGCACACACTCAGGGCCAGGCACACACAGAAAAGCACATGGCAGGAGCGTGTCTCAGGCAGATGGGGAGGCTCCAGCAGGGGGCACCCGTTTGTCCTGGGCTCCCTGGGGTGGGGGGAGGGTTGGCGGGAGGCTCCTACCACTCCCGGGTGGCCGTGAGGAAGGCGAGGTCCCAGGCAGGGCGTGCCTGCCCGACGGCGTCCCTGCCGTGACCTGCGCTCCCTCTGCAGCCCAGTCCCTGATCTTCCTCCCGCCTGTCAACGTCGCCGGCTTCCCCACCATAAGCCGTGAGTGGACGCCGCCCTCTGCTGATGGGGTGGGGGGGCTGCTGGCCCCGGGGGTCAACGATCTGGGGTAAAGCTGGGACAGTGAGGGGCAGCTGGGTGGCCTCGGGCGCGGTCTCGGGCCCCTCCCGCGGGGGCTGGGTGCGGGTGGCGGCGCCCCGTGAGGCCCCACCTCGCTCTCCCCGCAGCCCTGGACCCGGCCCACAACGGGCGGGTCTGCAGCACCTGGGGCGACTTCCACTACAAGACCTTCGACGGCGACGTCTTCCGCTTCCCCGGCCGCTGCAACTACGTCTTCTCCGCGCACTGCGGGGCCGCCTACGAGGACTTCAACGTGCAGCTCCGCCGCCACGGCCCGGCCGGCTCCAGGCCCGCCATCACCCACGTGGTCCTCAAGGCCCAGGGGCTGGTGCTGGAGTTCTCCAACGGCTCCATCCTGGTCGACGGGCAGCGGTGAGCCTGACAGGCGTGGGCGGGCTCGGGGGCCAGAACCCCGGGAGGGCACTGGGGCCAGCCCTGAGCCAGGGCCCAGCGAGGACCAGAGCTTTGTGCTGCAGGGAAGAGCTGCCCTACAGCCGGGCCGGCCTCCTGGTGGAGCAGAGCAGCAGCTACGTCAAGGTCACCGTCAGGCTGGTGCTGACCTTCATGTGGAATGGAGAGGACAGCGCCCTGGTGAGAGGCCAGCCCCCGGCCCCCCCTGGCCCTGGGTGCTGGGGCCCCAGCAGGTGGACTGGGGGTCATTGGGGGGCCCTGGCAGGCCTACAGAGGCTGGAGCTGCCCCCTCCCCCGCAGCTGGAGCTGGACTCCAAGTACGCCAACCAGACCTGTGGCCTCTGCGGGGACTTCAACGGGCTCCGCGCCGTCAGAGAGCTCTACAGCCACAGTGAGCGCCGCCGGGGGCGGGGCCTGGGCCTGGTCGGTGTGGGGCCTGGGCGCCGGCAGACGCCCCGGGGGAGCCCCCACCCACGGAGCACCCCCTCTCCGCAGACACCAGGCTCACCCCGCTTCAGTTCGGGAACCTGCAGAAGCTGGACGGGCCCACGGAGCAGTGTGAGGACCCCCAGCCGTCCCCCGCCAACAACTGCACCGTGGAGGTGGGCACCTCTCGGGGACGGGGCCCTCCCACCCCCCCAGCCCCCCAGCCCCCCACCTTGCCGCAGCCCCTGCCTCCCCCCGGCGTGGGCACGGCTGGAGGACAGGCTCTGGCCTCTGGGGGGAGGGACCGGGGGTCCAGGTGGGGAAGGGTCTCCTGGACTGGGGGCAACCGAGGGCTGCACCTACACTCTCGGGGTGCACCTTCCGTGCCACCTGCACCCCTACTCATCTGAGTGAGCGGGCCCCTGTGCGTGTGCAAACACACCCCCACCATCCTGCTAAGTGTGCGGCTGGCTGGGAGCCCTTCCGGTGTGCCTGGAGAACCCCGGCTTCGGAAGAGGCCCGGAAGCTCTGGGACCCCCCAAACCAGCTGGAACCCCGAGCATTAAATCGGGACACCGCTGGCCAGGGCGTGGCTGGGGAAGGAGGGTGTTCTGCTCAAGGGGGGCTGGGCACCACCAGGGGCAAGGCCTGCACCCTTCTGGGGGGCCCCACGTGAGTCCCGCAGCACTGGGCGGGGCCGGGACCTCGTGTGGGTCTCTCTCCAGAGCCCAGCAGAGCTCTGCCCCAGGGCCAGCAGGTTCCGCGACTGAGCAGAAGCAGGACCAGTGGGCGGGGAGGGGGGTGGGGTGGGTGGGTGGGTGGGCAGGCGGCAGGCTAGACGGGAGGAGCCACCAGGGAAGAGGGGGCGAAGGCTGCGGGGTGGGGTTCCCACTCGGCCCCTGTGCTCCCCAGGACGACGTCTGCAGCCGCACCCTGCGGGGCCCGGGCTTTGCCGCCTGCAACCGGCTGGTGGACCCCGAGGCCTATGCGGTGGCCTGCGCCCAGGACCTGTGCAGCTGCCCCGGCTGCCTGTGCGCCACCCTCACCGAGTACTCCCGCCAGTGCGCCCACGCCGGGGGCCGGCCGCAGAGCTGGAGGGGCCCCGACCTCTGCCGTGAGTGCGCGTCGCCGGGCCTGGGTCAGGGGCTGCCCCTGAGCAGCCTGGGCCCGGCGCCCACCCTGAGGAGGGGTGGACGCCAGAGGCACACCTGGCGTCTGTGGTGGATACAGGGCAGGCAGAGCCCCTCGGGGCCCACAGAGAGAGAGGGTGGGCGGGCGGGAGAGCTGAGGGGCGGAGGGGCCCAGGGCACCCTCACCGGAGCCCAGGAGACAGCCGGGGGCCGGAACGAGCAGAGCCACGGCTTCTGAGACCGAGGGCTCCGAGGCCCGGCGGTGGCTTTTGGGCACCCTTGCTGGCACACGGAAGGTGGGAGTGGGGGCGGCCTTTCTGCGCACCCGGCCACCCGAGTGCCTTCCCGGGGGCCAAGCGTGCTCCCCTCCGCCCCCCGCAGCCCGGACGTGCCCCCTCAACATGCAGCACCAGGAGTGCGGCTCACCCTGCGCCGACACCTGCTCCAACCCCCAGCGCTCCCAGCTGTGCGAGGACCACTGCATGGACGGCTGCTTCTGCCCCCCAGGCAGGTGCCCCAGCCCTTGGGGGCAGCCCCCACCCGGACGCTGGGCCCCCACCCCACCCGGGCGCCACTGACCCGCTCACCCGCCTGCAGGCACCGTGCTGGACGACGTCACGAACACCGGCTGCCTGCCGCTGCACAGCTGCCCCTGCACCCACGGCGGCCGCACCTACGCCCCGGGGGCCTCCTTCACCTCCAGCTGCAGCTCCTGGTAGGAGCCCCTCCCCGCCCCGTCCCACCGGGGGCGTGGTGCCTGGGCCCGGCCACCGGGCCCTCACCCCTCTCACTGGCGCTCTGCTCGTGGCCCCCAGCACCTGCTCCGGGGGGCTGTGGCAGTGCCAGGACCTGCCGTGCCCGGGCACCTGCTCCGTCACGGGCGGCTCCCACATCTCCACCTACGACGAGAGGCTCTACGACATGCATGGGGACTGCGGCTACCTCCTGTCGAAGGTGCGGCCGGGCCCGCGGCCCCTGACCGGGGAAGGGTCCGTGGTGGCCGTGGGACCGGGGGCAAAGCCCCCACAGCCCCCCCCGGGCCCCGCCCCAACGGGGAAGCCCCCGGGCTCACACTCACAGGGCACGGGGGGGGGGGCTCCCCGACCCGGAGATAAGCTCCTGGGGGCGACCGGAGGTACAGAGGCCCGAGAGCCTGGGCCCTGCGGGGGCGCCCCGGGCACAGGCCCCCGCCGCGCCCGCACGCTCAGCCCCGCCCCGCTGGCCCTAGAAATGTGCGGACAGCGGCTTCGTGGTGCTGGCCGAGCTGCGGAAGTGCGGCCTGACCGACAACGAGAACTGCCTCAAAACCGTGACGCTGAGCTTGAACGGCGGGGACACGGTGAGGGTCCCACCTCGACGCCTGGGGGAGGGGAGGTGGGGCCCGGGGGCCAGGGGGCCAGGGGCGCGGGGAGCAGCCTCCAACGCCCTCCCCCGAGCCCCGTGGCCGCTCCCCACGCTGACCGTGGCCCCACCTCCCCTCGCAGACCATCCGCATCCAGGCCAGCGGCGGGGTCTTCATGAACTCCATCTACACCCAGCTGCCCCTGTCGGCAGGTGCGGGGCCCCGGGGACAGGGGGCCACACCAGAGGGAGCCTGCCCCAGGCCGGCTGGGCCCCCTGCCGGCTCCCTGTGGCCTTGGGCAGCTCCAGAACACCCCAGGGCGGGTCGGTTTGCCGGGACGGGGCGGGGCGGGGCGTCAGCGGTCCGTGGTCATGACTCCTGCCGGCGTGCGAGCTCCGGCCCGGCTCCCGGGGGACCGGACGCCTGTCCGAGCCGGTCCAGCCTCCCAGGCTGTCCCGGGAGGGCAGAGCCTCAGGCGCCGGTGGTCAGCGTGGCTGGGCCTGGCCTGGGGCGGCCTCTGACCGTGCCCCTCCCCCCGCCCCAGGGAACCTCGTCATCTTCAGGCCCTCGACCTTCTTCATCCTGGTGCACACGGGCCTCGGGCTGCAGCTGGAGGTGCAGCTGGTGCCCCTCATGCAGGTCTTCCTCAGGCTGGACCCTGCCTACCGAGGCCAGATGTGCGGTGAGGCTGGGCGGGGCCCGAGGGGCTGGGGCCGTGGGGGCACAGCGGGACCCGGGGTGTGGGTGCACGCAGGGGGCGCAGAGGGTGGCGGGAGGTGGGGACTGGGGAGGCAGCGGCTCCGAGGGCACCAGATGACCGATCGGTCTGACCGGTGGCGGGCCGTGGGGTGGGGGGCGGTGGAGAACAAGCCAGGCCGCCTTCACTCAGGGGGCTTCGCACAGGCCCGGACCCCTGCCGGAGCTGCGGCTGCAACCACAGGGTGGGAGAGCCCACCGGGAGGGGAGCAAGGGCTGGCTGGGCCGGGCAGCCCGCTGACCGAGGCCCCTCCCGCCCCCAGGTCTCTGCGGGAACTTCAACCAGAACCAGGCCGACGACTTCCGGACCCTCAGCGGCGTGGTGGAGGGCACGGCCGCCGCCTTCGCCAACACCTGGAAGACGCAGGCCGCCTGCCCCAACGTCCGGAACAGCTTCGAGGACCCCTGCGCCCTCAGCGTGGAGAACGGTACCCCGCCCTGGGGCCCATCTGCACAGACGCCCCCCCATCTCACCCGGGTGCTGTGGGCGGGGGGCGGGGGAACCCCGATATCTGCCTGCAGGCAGCGGGGTCTGGGGTGAGCAGGCGGGGGTGCTGGGACCTGTCTCTGGACAGAGACTCTTGCTGCCCACGTGGTGGTGGGCGAGCCCCAAAGCCCGGGCAGGGCCTGCATGGGGGTTGGGGGGGGGCAGAAGCCAGGGCGCAGGTGCAGGGGGAGGAGGCGGCAAGCTGTGCCCGGTGACAGTCCCCCTGTGTCCCTCCTCGCAGAGAAATACGCCCAGCACTGGTGCTCCCTGCTGACCGACCCCGCCGGCCCCTTCTCGCCTTGCCACTCCGTCATCAGCCCCGCGCCCTTCCACTCAGTGAGACCCCGACCCCCGGCCCCGTGCCCCACACGAGGCGGGTGTCCCGCCTGCAGCTGCCCCCCCCAGCCTCCCCTCTGGGTTCCTCCGTCAAGGGTCAGCTCCCGTGGAGGGGTCTGGGGGCATCCTTCCTGCCCCTCCCAGCTTCTGGGGCCCCAGGCCCTTGTGGGCTTATGGCCGCCCTGGCCCAGGCCAGGTCACCGTCACAGGCCCCAGGGGCTACCTTTCCGGGGGGACACAATCCAGCCCCCGACCACTGGCCCTCTGCCAGCTTTCCGGAAGCTCAAAGCTCCGAAATGCACAGGACAGCACCCCGGGAGGGAGTGCACACGAGGAAGACAGGCCCGCCTCTGCCCCTCTGGGAGTGGGGGCCCCGGCCCATCCAGGACCCCCGGGAGAAACAGCCCGAGCTGGGTCAGGGGTTCTCGCTGGACCTTGTCCCAGTCCTGCAGAGACCCCCTCCTGCAGACCCCCACTGAGCCACCGCCTGCCCCGCCCCTGAGTGGGCAGTGTCCCTCCTGGTGGCAGGAGGCCCCACCTTCCTTAGTCTGTAGCTGGGCTCTCCTTGGGGGCGGAGCTCCAGGCTGGCGGGGGGGGCGTGCCCAGGAGGTGGGACGGGGAGAGGAGGGGCTCTGGTGGGCCGGGTCCCTGATGCCCGCCGACCCGTCCCCAGAACTGCCTGTTCGACACCTGCAACTGCGAGAGGAGTGAGGACTGCCTGTGTGCCGCCCTGGCCTCCTACGTCCACGCCTGCGCCGCCCGGGGCCTGCTGCTCAGCGGCTGGAGGGCCGGCGTCTGCAGTGAGTGGGGGGGGGCGAGCCATCTTCCCAGGCTGGGCCAGGTGCTGGGGACCCCAGGGCAGCCACCCCCACCCAGGGTCCTCAGCAGGATCTTGGGGCTTCCCCTGCCCAACCAAGAGCCCGATGCTGTTATCATCCCCGTTTCCAGAGGGGAAACTGAGTCTCGGGCCACTTACAGCCCGGCCCAGCCACTGACCTCAGTGTTGCTCCGCCCCCAGCCAAGTACATGAACTCCTGCCCCAAGTCCCAGAGCTACGCCTACGTGGTGAGCGGCTGCCAGCCCACCTGCCGGGCCCTGAGCCAGACTGACGTCACCTGCGGGGTCAGCTTCGTGCCCGTGGACGGCTGCACCTGCCCCAACGGCACCTTCCTGGACGACAGGGGCAACTGCGTGTCCGCCGAGGCCTGTCCCTGCTACTTCCACGGCTCCGTGGTGGCCCCCGGGGAGGTGGTGCACGACCACGGTGTGGTGTGGTAAGGGCCGCCGCCCGCTCCCTCCCCGACGTCCCGCCACCACCCCCCCCCCCGGGGGCCTACCTGCCTGCCCCACACGTAGGGGAACGGGGCCCCCAGGGGAGGGAACTTCCCGCCCACCCCTCAGCCCTTCGGTAAAGAAGGGCCCCTCCCCAGGCCCAGGAGCGGGTTCGGAGGGTCCAGGGCCCAGGGAGGGGGCTGGGCGGGTGGAGCGCCCTCACCGGCCAGGCACCGTCACGGGCCGGGGCCGGGGCCGGGTCCCGCACATTGTGAGGCTGGCTTTCTCCTGCCTCTTGGCTCACGCCCTCGAGAGCCTTTGCGGGGTTGGGGGCCTTCCCCGCGACCCCGCGAGTAGGCGACGCCCTCCCCGGGTGACCAGGCCCCGGCCCCGCACCCTCCCGGCCCGGGTCAGCTGGCCAGTGGGCAGCCGCCCAGGCCGGCCATCCGTCTCTCTCGTAGCTCGTGCACCAGCGGGAAGCTGAGCTGCCTGGGCGCCGCGGAGCAGACCAGGACGGGTACCGCCCCCCCCCCACCCCCGCCCCCCAGCCTCCAGCCAGGGGGCCCTGCTCCAGGGGAAGTGGGAGGAGCCTCTGCCGCTCTGGGGCGGGGTCCCAGCTGCGCGGCCGCCACCCATTGAGCCGTCCCTCCGCAGGCTGCGTGGCGCCCATGGTGTACCTGGACTGCAACAACGCCTCGGCCGGCACCCTCGGGTCCGAGTGCCTCCGCAGCTGCCACATGCTGGACGTGGACTGCGTGAGTCCGCTGGCGGGGCGCGGCCACGTCCCTGCCCCGAGGCTGTGCCCCTCCCCCGGCGCCGCAGCAGCGGGCGCATCGCTGACCAGCTCCCTTCTCTCCGCAGTTCAGCACGCACTGCGTGTCCGGCTGTGTCTGCCCCCCCGGGCTGCTGTCCAACGGCAGCGGGGGCTGCGTGGCCGAGAAGGACTGCCCCTGTCTGCACAACGAGGCCGCCTACCAGCCCGGGGACACCATCCGGGTGGACTGCAACACCTGGTGGGTCCCGGGCCTCTCGGGGGGGGCGGTGGGCCGTGGGCAGAGCGCGGCAGCTGAGAGGCCGCAGGGGCAGTGGCCGGGCGGTCCCTGGCAGGGGGCAGACAGGAGCGGAGGCCTGGCGCCGCCCCCACCCCTTGGAAAGCCCCGTTTGGTCCCATTTGTCCTCTGGAAGGTGCCCCAGGGGCCCGGCACGTGGCGGGGCGGCAGCTGCCAAGAGCCGCTGAAGCGGCGTCCTCCGGCCTCTCACGGCGCACAGCAGCCAGGTCCCCGTCACTGTTCCCGCCGCGGCCCGGTGACAGGACCTCCCTCTCCGCCCCTTGCAGCACCTGCCGGAACCGCAGGTGGGACTGCACCCGCAGGCCCTGCCTGGGCACCTGCGTGGCCTATGGGGACAGCCACTTCATCACCTTCGACGGCGAGCGGTACAGCTTCCAGGGCAACTGCGAGTACACGCTGGCCCAGGTACCCGCTCCGCCCTCGCTCCGCCCTCGCTCCGCCCCTTGCTCTGTCCTCCCCCCGCCCCTTGCTCAGCCCCTCCCTCAGACCTTGCTCCGCCCCAGCTCCGCCCCCACCCCTTGCTCAGCCCCTCCCTCAGGCCTTGCTCCGCCCTCGCTCCGCCCCCCGCTCCGCCCCCCGTTCTGCCCTGCAGGGCCGCTGGGCTCGGGGCCTGACCAGGGTGGCGTCTCTCCCTGTCCCAGGACCACTGCGGCGGCAATGGCAGCACCAATGGCACCTTCCGCATTGTCACCGAGAACGTCCCCTGCGGGACCACGGGTGTCACCTGCTCCAAGGCCATCAAGATCTTCCTGGAGGTGAGGGGGTGACGACGAACCTTCTCCCTCTCTCAGCAGCTGACTGGCTCACCCTGTCCGGGTCCCCCGCCCTGGGCCCTCCCGCTGCATTGTGACCTGGGCTGGCTGTAACGAGTGGCTACAGCCCCTTAAACCGGGGAGACTCCGGCCCTCGTAGTTCTGAGGCCAGGGCTCCGACATCCAGGCGTGACAGTCCTGCCCCTCCCCGGGCTCCCCGGGGCTCCAGGCGTCATTTCTGCACTCGGGCCGGGCCGTGTCCCTGCCGTCTCCGCCTGTGCGTCCCACTCGTCTCTTGCAGGGACGCCCGCCGTGGGGCTCAGGGTCCCCCAGACGCGGGTTGTCTGCAGGCCCTCACCCCATCACATCTGCAGACAAGGCCCGGCGCACGGGTGTCCAGGGTCAGGGCAGGGCCTGTGCTCTGGGGGCCTCCATTCCGCCCACCACAGCCGGGACGCCCCCTTCCGGGCGAGGGAGGCCGGCGCTCACAGGGCGGGGGGCAGAGCTGCCGGCTGGGGGTTGCTTCCCCGGGGGGCCGGCGGCGAGGGAGGGCCCGAGGCCTCCCGCTGTCCACCCAGCACGCCCTGCCCAGCCTCGCGCCCGAAGATCACTGAGGTGTCCGAGCCCGGTGCCTTGGGCCCCTGCGCGCCCACGGGCCCCGCCCTGGGCCGCAGGGTGGGCTCCGCCTCCTCAGCCCCCCCGCGCGCCCCTCCACAGAACTATGAGGTCATGCTCCACGAGGGCACCTACAAGGTGGTGCGGCGGGGGCCGGGCGGAGACCTGCCCTACAGGATCCGGTACATGGGCACCCACCTGGCCGTCGAGACCCGCAGCGGCCTGGTTGTATCCTGGGACCGGAAGACCAGCGTGTTCATCCGGCTGCGCCAGGATTACAAGGTGAGGGCGGGCAGGCTGCAGACCCTCAGGCAGAGTCAGAGCCCCCTCACGGGCCTGGCCTCGCGGGACCCTCTGGCAGCTGGCGGTCTGCTGAGGGCTGGGGTTCTGAAAACGGGGGCTGTGGAGACCGAACGACCGGCGTGCGTGTCGCAGTCCTGCCGCACAGCCGCTCCGCTCCCGGGACTGTCCGCTCAGCGGGCCCACACCCTCTCGGCTGAGGTCCTAGGGGGAAGCACGTGCCTGCCCGCCTGCCCACCTGTCCCTCTGCCCGCTCTGTCCACCTGCTCACCTGTCCCTCTGCTGACCTGCGTGCCCGGTCTACATGCCCTCCTGCCCACCTGTTCACCCACCCATCTGACCACCTGTCCACCTGCCTGCTTGCCTGCCTGCCTCTTCACCTGTCCACCTGCCCACCTGCCTGCCTGGCTGGCTTCCTGCCTGTCTTCCTATCCACCTGTGCACTGCAGGACCCACTGTGCTCCTGTCCCCTTGCAAGGTCACTGGGCACCGCCCGAGGGGACTGAGTGCCCGGCGCTCACCCCGCCCCCCCAGCCAGGCTGCCCCCTGCAGCCCCGCCCCACGTGCCCGCCTGTCTCCGCGTCCGCAGGGGAGGGTCTGCGGGCTGTGCGGGAACTTCGACGACAACGCCCTCAACGACTTCACCACGCGGAGCCAGTCCGTGGCGGGCGACACCCTGGAGTTCGGCAACAGCTGGAAGTTCTCCCCGTCCTGCCCGGACGCCCCGGCGCCCAGGGACCCCTGCACCGCCAACCCCTACCGCAAGTCCTGGGCGCAGAAGCAGTGCAGCATTCTCAACGGCGCCGTCTTCCAGGCCTGCCGCTCTCAGGTGCGGGGCGGGCAGCGGCTCTGGGCAGGGGGCCGGGGCTGAGGGCCGGCGGCTGGGGTGGCCTCCTTCCCTCCGGGAGGAAGCTGAATCTGGCCTGGCCTGGCCTGGCCTGGGCCTCGGTGGACGGACGGTCTCCTCCCCGCTGACCACCGAGCATGAGCAGGGCACACTGTCTGGACCTCCCACCGGGTGGGCGCTGGTGCGCCCCTTCCCAGCAGAGAGCGTCCTGGCTGCATCCCTCTGCCCCCCGAAATGGGATCGGGGCTGCGGGTCCTACAGCCCTGGTGTGACCCCGGCCCCGCCCTGGCCCCCCCCCCATTCCCTGACTTGCCGATGCCCCCGCCGGGCCACGTGGTGCAAAGGGCCAGGATCAGCCTCAGAGACTGCCCAGCGGTCCTTCCTGTGATGAGGACACCGGTGCCCACTCACCCGCTGTTTCTGGATCTGGGACCCACGCAAGGATGAGTGGGCCTGCTGTGTGGATGCCCCCACACCTGCCCTCAGGCTCACAGAGTCCTCTGAGCCTGACCTGCAACCCCACCTGACTGGGGTCCCCTGGGCTCTGCCGCCTCCCATTTGTCAGGACAGCACCCCACAGTCCCCAGGAGGGCCGGTGTGCACCCCAGTGGGATGCTGAGCAGGGCATCAGATGCCGGGCGAGGTGAGGTCAGAGGGGACCAGGGGAGAGGCCCGGTGGGAGGAGCCTCCCCGCTGCCTCCCAGCGCAGTCACAGGTCGCAAACGGCAGGTGGGCTGCTGTCTCCGAGCCGTGCGTGCTGGTTCTTCCCACCGCTAAGCGGCCCCCCTGCCCTCTGCCCGCAGGTCGACCCCACCAAGTACTACGAGGCCTGCGTGAGCGACGCGTGCGCCTGCGACTCGGGCGGCGACTGCGAGTGCTTCTGCACGGCCGTGGCCGCCTACGCCCAGGCCTGCCGCGAGGTGGGCGTGTGCGTGTCCTGGCGCACCCCGGACGTCTGCCGTGAGTCGGGCTCGGCCGCGGTGCGGAAGGGCGGGTGCGCGGTGGCGGGAGGAGGCAGGCTGCCCTGGGCCCAGGCCACCCCCAAATGGGATGGCTCCGGGGGACAGGCTGCCCGTCCAGGGCTGAGAAATGGAACAGGGGCGAACGCCAGAGGCGGCCCGAGACCCTCCGCTCCCAGGGCGCTCGGGCCTTAGCCTCTGCCGGCCCTCGGCCTCTGTCCCCCACGCCCAGCCCTGTTCTGCGACTACTACAACCCCCACGGGGAGTGCGAGTGGCACTACCAGCCCTGCGGAGTCCCCTGCCTGCGGACCTGCCGGAACCCCAGTGGACGCTGCCTGGTGGACCTGCCCGGCCAGGAAGGTGAGGGGCAGACGTCCCGGGGAGCCCCACCTCCCCAGCCGGGGACACTGCGCAGGCGTCGGGGGGCGGGGGCGGGGCCGCGGGGCACGTGGGCTCCTGCTACCAGCACTTCGCACCCCCGGGGCCTGGCGGCGCGGACCCCCTCGCCCGCGAGGGTGAGTCTCTCCCGCCATGTGCTCGCCCGCCCCAGGCTGCTACCCCAAGTGTCCGCCCAACAAGCCGTTCTTCAGTGAGGACCAGATGAAGTGTGTGGCCCAGTGCGGCTGCTACGATGACGACGGGAACTACCACGAAGTTGGCACCAGTGTCCCCGCGGCGGAGAACTGCCAGAGCTGGTGAGGGGGCGGCTGGGGCGGGGCCGAGGGGCCGGGCGGGGCCGGAACTGCTGAGAGGGCGGTGCCAAGGGAGGGGCGGGGCCAGAGCTGGCGAGGGGTGGGGAAGAGCGGGGGCGGGGGTGGGCGGGGCCAGAGCTGGCAAGGGGCGGGGCGGGGCGGGCGGGGCGGGGCGGGGCCGGTTGGGGCCTCAGCTTCCTCCTCTCCTCCCAGTGACTGCGCCCCAGGCGGCATCCGGTGCACACACAGCCTCGCGGGTAAGGAGGGGCCTGGTTGGTTAGGACGCTGGGGGCTGGGGCTCCTCTGAGCGCTGTATCTGCCCTGACTCCCAGCCTGTAAGTGCACCTACGAGGGTAAGACGTACAGCTACGGGGACGTCATCTACAACACGACCGATGGGCTGGGTGCCTGCTTGACCGCCGTCTGCGGAGACAACGGCACGATCGCGCGGACGGTCACGGAATGCCTGGGAACAGCCTCCACCACAGCCTTCAGCTTCACCTCCACCGCGGTTCCGCCCTCCGCCACAGGTGGGCTGACCTGGGGGAAGCCACCGTCCGGGTAAGGGAAGGAGACCCAGGCCGTTGCTCCGTGCAGAAGTTCTGGGGCCGGGGACGGACTGGGATTCTGCAGGGGCCCACGGACCCGCCCTGGGGCAAGGGGCCGTGTGTCACTCGACCTCCAGGGCATGCTGGCCAGAACGCAGAGGGGGTAACCCGGTCTCCTGCCCCCACCCCCACAGGCCCAGCCCCCACCGTCTCCACCGTGTGCGTGCACCAGGAGTGCCGCTGGTCGGCCTGGTACGATGGCAGCCACCCAGAGCCCGGCATGGGCGGTGGGGACTTCGAGACGTTTGCCAGCCTGAGGCAGAGGGGCTACGACATCTGCCCGGGCCCAAGCAGCATCGAGTGCAGGGCCCAGCTGCTCCCCGACACGCCCCTGGAGCAGCTGGGCCAGAAGGTGGAGTGCGACCCCGTGCGGGGGCTCACCTGCCTCAACAGCGAGCAGAACCCCCCGCTCTGCCACAACTACGAGCTGCGGGTGCTCTGCTGCGACTACGTGCCCTGCGGCACCCCCCCGGGCCCGGCCCCCAGCCAGAGTCCGACCCCCAGGCCCTTGCCCACCTCCACCGTCCAGACGACGACGGCCTTCACCTCACCCTCCAAGGAGTCCGGGAGCCCCGAGGCTCCGAGCACCACCTGCCAGCGCCGGTGTCGGTGGACGACGTGGTTCGACGAGGATTACCCCCAGCCCGAGGAGGCGGGGGGGGACATCGAGTCCTTCGACAAGATCAGGAGCTCGGGCGGAGAGGTGTGCGAGCGGCCCGTGGACATAGAGTGCCGGGCCGAGGGCTTCCCCGACAGGCGCCCCGAGGAGCTGGGGCAGCGCGTGCACTGCGACCCCAGCTTCGGCCTGGTCTGCAGGAACGCCGAGCAGCCGGGCCTGTTCAAGATGTGCTACAACTACAGAATCCGCCTGCTGTGCTGCCGCTGTGAGGAGCCCGGCTCCACCACCGTGGCCACGACCGCTTCCAGGAGCCCCACGGCTCCCACAGCCTCCACACAGCCCACTGCCCTGCCGGGGACCTCGGGGGGCCCGTCACAGGGACCCACCCAGGGGCCGGAGACAACTCGGACGTCCAGAGCTCGGCCAAGCACGAAGACACCAGTGGGCACTTCCGGCGCGGTCTCCACCCGCCCGCCGTCTCCGCCGTTCCCTGGGACGAGCGCACCCACAGCAGGCACCCAGGTGCCCACAACCACCACGGAGGCCACCACCGGCCGTGGCACAACCGCCTGCGAACCCAAGTGTGAGTGGACAGAATGGTTTGACGTGGACTTCCCCACCTCCGGGGTCGCCGGCGGAGACATGGAGACCTACGAGAACATCAGAGCCGCGGGCGGCAAGATGTGCGCGGAGCCGCAGAAGATCGAGTGCCGGGCCGAGAACTACCCGGAGGTGAGCCTCGACCAGATCGGCCAGGTGGTCAGCTGCAGCCTGCAGACCGGGCTGGTGTGCAGGAACCGGGACCAGAAGGGACAGTTCAACATGTGCTTCAACTACAACATCCGACTGCTGTGCTGTGAGCAGGCCCCCCACTGCCCCACTGCCCGGACACCCACGACCCTGGGTCCGCCAGCCACCCAGACCACACCCACCCCCTCAAGGACACCCGCATCCACCAGGTCGGCCCACACACCTGGCCGCGAAACAGCCCACGTGCGGACGGTCACCACGCAGACCACACGCAGGGTCCCAACCAGCAGTCCCACCTTTGGGACCACCCTGCTCTTCAGCACCACAACGACCAAACCCATCCCATCCACTCCGACCTCTGTGACGACAGGGGTCTGCATGCCTCGCTGCACCTGGACAGACTGGCTGGACCAGAGCTACCCCATGCCCGGGGCCTCGGGCGGCGACTTTGAGACCTTCGACAACCTCCGGGCGGCCGGCAGGGCCCTGTGCGCGCACCCCGTGGGCCTGGAGTGCCGGGCCGAGTCCCAGCCCGACGTGCCCCCTGGCCCAGCTGGGCCAGGTGGTGCTGTGCAGCCTGGGGAGGGCCTGGTGTGCCGCAACCGCGACCAGGCCGGCCCGTTCCAGATGTGCCTCAACTACCAGGTCCGCGTGCTCTGCTGCGACTACAGCCACTGCCCCCCAACACCGGCCACCACCACGGCCCCTCCGCCCCTCTCAGTGGCCACCGGCACCCCAGGGCCGTCCTCCGCGACGGCCACCACCCTAACTGGAACCTCCAGGGCCACCAGCCGGGTCTCAGGGCCCAGCAGCCAGCCCGGGGGCTCCAGCACCACGGCCAGCACAACCCGGGCCACCTCCAGCTCGGGGGCCAGCACCGGGGGGTCCCCGCCGCCCCCCATTGCTCAGACCACCAGCACCCTGCCCCCCACCACCCGACGCCCCTCATCAGGCGTCCCCCACGCCCTCGGCGTCTTCGGGGACCACCCAGACCCCAGCCACGATGCCCTCGGTCTCGCCCACCACCGAGTGTGCGCCTCGCTGCACCTGGACAGACTGGCTGGACCAGAGCTACCCCATGCCCGGGGCCTCGGGCGGCGACTTTGAGACCTTCGACAACCTCCGGGCGGCCGGCAGGGCCCTGTGCGCGCACCCCGTGGGCCTGGAGTGCCGGGCCGAGTCCCAGCCCGACGTGCCCCTGGCCCAGCTGGGCCAGGTGGTGCTGTGCAGCCTGGGGAGGGCCTGGTGTGCCGCAACCGCGACCAGGCCGGCCCCGTTCCAGATGTGCCTCAACTACCAGGTCCGCGTGCTCTGCTGCGACTACAGCCACTGCCCCCCCCCCAACACCGGCCACCACCACGGCCCCTCCGCCCCCTCTCAGTGGCCACCGGCACCCCAGGGCCGTCCTCCGCGACGGCCACCACCCTAACTGGAACCTCCAGGGCCACCAGCCGGGTCTCAGGGCCCAGCAGCCAGCCCGGGGGCTCCAGCACCACGGCCAGCACAACCCGGGCCACCTCCAGCTCGGGGGCCAGCACCGGGGGGTCCCCGCCGCCCCCCATTGCTCAGACCACCAGCACCCTGCCCCCCACCACCCGCCGCCCCTCATCAGGCGCCCCCCACGCCCTCGGCGTCTTCGGGGACCACCCAGACCCCAGCCACGATGCCCTCGGTCTCGCCCACCACCGAGTGTGCGCCTCGCTGCACCTGGACAGACTGGCTGGACCAGAGCTACCCCATGCCCGGGGCCTCGGGCGGCGACTTTGAGACCTTCGACAACCTCCGGGCGGCCGGCAGGGCCCTGTGCGCGCACCCCGTGGGCCTGGAGTGCCGGGCCGAGTCCCAGCCCGACGTGCCCCTGGCCCAGCTGGGCCAGGTGGTGCTGTGCAGCCTGGGGAGGGCCTGGTGTGCCGCAACCGCGACCAGGCCGGCCCGTTCCAGATGTGCCTCAACTACCAGGTCCGCGTGCTCTGCTGCGACTACAGCCACTGCCCCCCAACACCGGCCACCACCACGGCCCCTCCGCCCCTCTCAGTGGCCACCGGCACCCCAGGGCCGTCCTCCACGACGGCCACCACCCTAACTGGAACCTCCAGGGCCACCAGCCGGGTCTCAGGGCCCAGCAGCCAGCCCGGGGCCTCCAGCACCACGGCCAGCACAACCCAGGCCACCTCCAGCTCCGGGGCCAGCACCGGGGGGTCCCCGCCGCCCCCCATTGCTCAGACCACCAGCACCCTGCCCCCCACCACCCGACGCCCCTCATCAGGCGCCCCCACGCCCTCGGCGTCTTCGGGGACCACCCAGACCCCAGCCACGATGCCCTCGGTCTCGCCCACCACCGAGTGTGCGCCTCGCTGCACCTGGACAGACTGGCTGGACCAGAGCTACCCCATGCCCGGGGCCTCGGGCGGCGACTTTGAGACCTTCGACAACCTCCGGGCGGCCGGCAGGGCCCTGTGCGCGCACCCCGTGGGCCTGGAGTGCCGGGCCGAGTCCCAGCCCGACGTGCCCCTGGCCCAGCTGGGCCAGGTGGTGCTGTGCAGCCTGGGGAGGGCCTGGTGTGCCGCAACCGCGACCAGGCCGGCCCGTTCCAGATGTGCCTCAACTACCAGGTCCGCGTGCTCTGCTGCGACTACAGCCACTGCCCCCCAACACCGGCCACCACCACGGCCCCTCCGCCCCTCTCAGTGGCCACCGGCACCCCAGGGCCGTCCTCCGCGACGGCCACCACCCTAACTGGAACCTCCAGGGCCACCAGCCGGGATCTCAGGGCCCAGCAGCCAGCCCGGGGCCTCCAGCACCACGGCCAGCACAACCCAGGGCCACCTCCAGCTCGGGGGGCCAGCACCGGGGGGTCCCCGCCGCCCCCCATTGCTCAGACCACCAGCACCCTGCCCCCCACCACCCGCCGCCCCTCATCAGGCGTCCCCACGCCCTCGGCGTCTTCGGGGACCACCCAGACCCCAGCCACGATGCCCTCGGTCTCGCCCACCACCGAGTGTGCGCCTCGCTGCACCTGGACAGACTGGCTGGACCAGAGCTACCCCATGCCCGGGGCCTCGGGCGGCGACTTTGAGACCTTCGACAACCTCCGGGCGGCCGGCAGGGCCCTGTGCGCGCACCCCGTGGGCCTGGAGTGCCGGGCCGAGTCCCAGCCCGACGTGCCCCTGGCCCAGCTGGGCCAGGTGGTGCTGTGCAGCCTGGGGGAGGGCCTGGTGTGCCGCAACCGCGACCAGGCCGGCCCGTTCCAGATGTGCCTCAACTACCAGGTCCGCGTGCTCTGCTGCGACTACAGCCACTGCCCCCCAACACCGGCCACCACCACGGCCCCTCCGCCCCTCTCAGTGGCCACCGGCACCCCAGGGCCGTCCTCCACGACGGCCACCACCCTAACTGGAACCTCCCGGGCCACCAGCCGGGTCTCAGGGCCCAGCAGCCAGCCCGGGGGCTCCAGCACCACGGCCAGCACAACCCAGGGCCACCTCCAGCTCGGGGGCCAGCACCGGGGGTCCCCGCCGCCCCCCATTGCTCAGACCACCAGCACCCTGCCCCCCCCCCACCACCCGACGCCCCTCATCAGGCGTCCCCCACGCCTCGGCGTCTTCGGGACCACCCAGACCCCAGCCACGATGCCCTCGGTCTCGCCCACCACCGAGTGTGCGCCTCGCTGCACCTGGACAGACTGGCTGGACCAGAGCTACCCCCATGCCCGGGGCCTCGGGCGGCGACTTTGAGACCTTCGACAACCTCCGGGCGGCCGGCAGGGGCCCTGTGCGCGCACCCCGTGGGCCTGGAGTGCCGGGCCGAGTCCCAGCCCGACGTGCCCCCTGGCCCAGCTGGGCCAGGTGGTGCTGTGCAGCCTGGGGGAGGGCCTGGTGTGCCGCAACCGCGACCAGGCCGGCCCGTTCCAGATGTGCCTCAACTACCAGGTCCGCGTGCTCTGCTGCGACTACAGCCACTGCCCCAGCTCCCCTGCCACGTCCAGGGCCCCTCCTTCCAGCCCGGGGACCAGCGGCCGCCCGTCACCCGCAGGGACCTCAGCAACGTTGTCTACAGCCACCGCCAGTCAGCCTCTGCCCTCGTCCCCCGGCAGCACTGCGGGCACCCCTGCTCCCCAGCCTCCCCACTCCCCTTTCAGCACCACCGGCCGCGTGCCTGCCCCCAGTTCCTCTGCCTTCCCGGGTACTCTCAGCACAGCCCCCCTGGTCACCTCCCCCAGACAGACCGCCTCCGGCGTCCCACCCACAAGTCCCACATTGGCGACAGCCCTGCACACCACGCCCCCCTTCACCCTCAGCAGCCTCAGGCCCACGGCCTCCCCGGGCACCCCCGGCCCCACCACCGCCTGCCTGTGCCGGGCGTTTGGACAGCTTTTCAAACCAGGTCAGTGAGGAACCGTTCCCTCCTGGAATACACCTGGGCCTGGCCCTCAGTTCCTGGGGAGGGCCCCCAGCTCTGTGCCCCGTGCTCCATGCCCCGCGTGGTGACACCCGCCACTGGGGACCCGTCCTTGGCTGGCCAGGGCGTCTCACGTCTGTGACTGTCTCTCCCACAGGGGACATCGTCTACAACAGGACCGACCATGCCGGCTGCTCCTTCCACGCTGTCTGCAACCGGCACTGTGAGCTCGACCGCTTCCAGGATACCTGCGCCACCACCAGGCCCCCGGAGCCCCAGACTGCCGTAACCCCGACCACCCCGGGGCCCCAGACTGTCGTAACCCCGACCACCCCGCCTGCTGGCTGCAACCTCACCGACCCTCCCCGGAAGGTGTGTGGCCCCCCCTTCCTGTGCTGCCCATCCTTGCTGTGTGCTGAGGGTCGGGGGCTACTGCTGCGTCCCCTGGGGCAACCCCCAGCCCCGCGGTGAGCCCGGCTTGGGGGGGGGCTCCGGCAGGAGAGCAGCACAGGGTCGGGCTGGGCCAGGCCCGAGGACAGCCCCGCCCCCGGCCACAGGGGCCGCGGCTGCGGTGGTGGCGGGGGCGGGACGTCCGGTGTCCTGGGTGCGCCCCCCGCCCCCCGCCCCCCGCGAGCTGGTGTCCGCTCGCCGCCAGGTGAATGAGTCCTGGACGCTGGAGGACTGCACCGTGGCCCGCTGTGAGGGCGACAACCGCATCACCCTGCTGAAGCCGAAGCCGGTGGAGAAGGTGGCCTGCGCGAACGGGCGCCCGCCGGTGAAAGTGCAGAGCCCGCTGGACCCCTGCCAGTACCACTACGAGTGCGAGTGTGAGAGGCCGCGGGGCCCGGCGGGGCCGGTGGGCGCGGCGGTGGGCTCCCGGGCGCACGTTTGCCGAGGTCCGGAGCGACCTTCTGTGCCGCTGCCCCCGGGAAGGACCCTAAAACAGGTGCCTGAGCAGCTCCGCCCCGGCCTGGAGGCCCTCGGCCGCAGTGTCACGGGGGCCACTCTTCCCCAGAGCCGCAGGGGGGCCCTTCCTGCCGAGTCCTGGCCCTCCTGGGTGGTGGCTGTGCCCCCCCCACCTCGTTCACGTGGCCCCTCCCCTCTCTGTGTCTTTTCTGAGGACACTTGTCATTGGATTCCGGGCCACCTGGCTGGTAATCCAGGGGGACCTCATCTCAGGACCCTTCACTGAACAACAGCAGTGAAGACCCTTCCCCAGGAGGTCTCGGGGTCTTGGTGGACGCGTGGAGGCCACGAAGCAACACACTTGCCTGTTTTATACGTGCGGCCGCTGAGGCCCGGGGGGCCGGCGGGGGCCCCCCAGGCGGCCGTGCCGGGGGCACTGGGTGAGGGCGCTGTCCGTGTCCGCAGGCTCCTGCAGCAGCTGGGGGGGCTCCAACTACCTCACCTTCGACGGCACCTCCTACTCCTTCCGGGACGCCTGCACGCACGTCCTGGTGAAGGAGATCCACCCCCGCCTCGGGAACCTCACCGTCCTGCTGGACAACCACTACTGCGGGGCGGCCGCGGCCCGGTGTCCCCGCGCCCTCATCGTCCACTACGAGTCCATGGAGGTCGACCTCACCACCACCGCCGCCGGCGCCAGCGGGCAGGAGGAGAGCCTGGTGGGTGCGGGGCGGCGGGCGGCGCCCAGGCCGGCGGGGGCGGGGACCCAGCCACCAGGGGCGTGTCAGCACCGAGGGGTGCGCTGCGGGGGGGGAGGGCCGGGCCCCTGCGACAGGTCCCCCAATGTGTCCCCAGGTCCTCTTCAACCACGTCCGGGTGAGCCATGGCTTCAGCAAGGACGGCGTGAATGTGTCCATGATGGGAAGCACCGCGGTGCGTGTCGACATTCCGGCCATCGGTGTCAGCGTCACCTTAGACGGGCACATCTTCCAGATCCAGCTGTCCTACAGCCACTTCGCCAACAACACCGAGGGCCAGTGCGGTGAGTGGGCACGCGGCCCCGACCCCGGCGCTCGCAAGTCCGCCCGCCCCGCCCCCAGGCTCGGCCCCGCCCCCAGGCTCGGCCCCGCCCCCAGGCTCGGCCACGCCCCCTGCTGCCTGCCCCGGGCTGTGATTGGTGGCTCCGAACCAATAACCGCAGTGGGGCGGAGGGGGAGGTGAAAGGCTGGCGGCCGCGCGGCGGGGGTCCAGCCTGGTCCCCAGGGTGACCCTCCCGGCCCCTGACTCCCCAGGCACTTGCACCAACGACAGGACGGACGACTGCCGCCGGCCGGACGGCACCGTGGCCCCCACCTGTCAGGACATGGGCAAGGACTGGCTGGTCCCCGGGAGCTGCTGGGCACCCACAGGCCCCCCCACGACCGCCACCCGCTCCTCATCCCCGGCGCCCACCGCTCCCTCTGCCTCCCCGTGCCCCACCGCGCACCTCTGTGAGCTGCTGCTGAGCCCGTGAGTCCCCCCAGGGCGCTGGGCCGTCCCGGGGCGGTGGCCCTGCTGGGGCCCGGCACCCAGCTCCCCGCGCCGACCTCCGACCGCCCCCGCCCACAGCGTCTTCGCCGAGTGCCACCGCCTCATCCCGCCCAGCCTGTTCTTCAGCGCCTGCGTCCTTGACGCCTGCCGCCCTGAGGCGCCCTGCCAGAGCCTGGAGGCCTACGCGGCGCTCTGCCGAGCGCGCGGCGCGTGCAGCGACTGGCGGAACGCCACCGGCGGGCTGTGCAGTGAGTCCGGGGCAGCCGCCAGGGGCTCCGGCCTCCTCGGCGCGCCTGACACCCGTCTCTGTGCCCCCAGACTTCACCTGCCCGCCCGAAAAGGTGTACAAGTCGTGTGGCCCTTCGCAGCCCAGGTCCTGTGATTCCAGGTGAGCACCGGCGGGGGCGGGACCAGTGGGGACAGTGTCCAGAGGGCCTGGGAGCAGCCAGGAGGGGACAGGAGGAGGGGCCGGGATCTCTGGGGTGCTCTTCCCTGGCCCAGACCTCCAGCCCGGACCCCATGGGACGCTCAGGGCAGCTGACCAGCCCAGCACCCCACCCATGCCCGCGGCCCCTCTCCCTCACGCTGCCCGTCCCCTTGGACGGAGGGTCCTAAGGCCGCCCCCTCACCTTGCAGGACACAGATCTCAGGGAACAGGGGGCTGGTGGAGGGCTGCTTCTGTCCCGACAGCCACATCCTCTTCAACTCCTACACGGGCATCTGTGTGCCGGAGTGCCGTAAGCGCCACCCGGGACCCGGCCTGTGGGCGGGTGGAGGGGACGGCGGGGTGGGGAGCCACCGGGCGGACCCCTCTGTCCTGGGCCCGGCCTGCCTCGGCGTCCCACTGCCCACGGTCCCAGGCCAGCTCCCGCCTGTGCTGCAGGTGGCCCTGCGGCCACCCCTTGAGCAGAGACCGGAGTTTCTGTTCTCGGTGGGAGGACGGCGGCCTTGTCTGGGGGCGTGGCCAGGACCGAGAGGACGTGTCCCTGTGGCCCGGGGCCTCTGCCACTGGGCTGCCAACCCCGGGACCTCTAGTGAGTCCCTTTCTCCTTTCCTTCCAGCCTGCGTGGGACCAGACGGGCATCCCAAATACGTGAGTGGTTCTGCCCCCACCTGGCCCCACCTCGCTCAAGCGGAAGGAGGGAGCGAGTGCCTCCCCGTCGGAGCGGCCGACTCTGCCATGGCAGCCGCGGTGGGGCCGGCTGGGGGGGTACCTCGGTGTGTGACACGCCTGTCACAACGGCTGCTCCAGAGAAGGGGGCTAGAGCGGGAGGCCAAGCGCTGACTGGGCCAGGCTGAGGGCCGGGGCCTGGCCTGCTGCTGGGCGCGGCCCGAGAGGCGGGGGCACCGTCCAGGAGCCCTGGGGGACCCTGGCCTGCTCTGTTCCAGCCCGGAGATAAGTGGGAAAGCAACTGCCAGAACTGCGTGTGTGACAAGAGCTCCGTGTCGGTGCGGTGTGTCCCGGTGCAGTGTGACGCCCAAGCCCAGCCCCCGGAGTGCGGCCGGCCTGGCTTCGTGCCTATGATCAGGTCCCAGGCTGGCAGCTCGTGCTGCAAGGAGATGCTGTGTGGTGAGCCCTGCTTCCCGGTGGGCCAGGTGGGGCGGGGGCAGCCGAGGAGGGGAGAGGCACAGCACGCCCGGCCAGCAGGGCCCGCGGGCAGGTTTGACCCCTGCTGGACCACTGGGGTGGGATCGTTTTTCCTCCTAGAAATGAGGCGGGTGACCTCTGGTCTGTCCAGGGACTTGGGAGGGACCAGGGAGGTGACAGTGAGGGGGCCTGAAGAGAACCCAGAGGGCCACAGAGGAAAAACACTTCCTCGGCTCCGATGTGGGGGGACCCTGGGGGCCGGGAGGGCAGGGGTCACCGCCACGGTGTCCTCCTTCTCCCGCAGTCTGCAACTCGAGCACCTGCCAGCAGAGGCCCCCGGAATGTAGGCCCCAGGAGGAGCTGGTCCGCACCCAGAAGGAGGGCGACTGCTGCCCCACCTACTACTGCAGTGCGTTCCCTGGGGTGGTGCTTGGGGCAGGGGCAGGGTTGTCTGGGCGCCCTCCCACTGCCCAGCAGGTCCTCAGTTCTCCCTCCCCTTCCAGTGCCCACGCTGTGCTCCTACAACGGCACCTCCTACGGGGTAAGCGCTCGGAGGCCCGCTGGCGGGCGGCAGGCTCTGCACGTCGCTGAGGGGGCACCCGGGCCCTGGGGACCTCCCTCCACTTCTCGGTTCCACACGCTCAGCTGTCTGCCCCTCCTGCCCTGGGAGCGGACAGACAGAGGGGCTCTGCGCCCTCTATAGCCGGTGGGGATGCGGGGGCCCATGGGAGGGGCGCCTGGTGCGGAGAGCTCGGCAGGGCTGCGGCTCCACACCTGGTGGCCTCCCGGAAGACTGTTGGGGCGGGGCCACACCCTCCTGGTGCCCTCCAGTCTGCCCAGGACCCCTGCCGCTCAGGGTCCTGCCTCTGTCCTGGGCTCCTGCTGCTCTCCTGGCCTGCGCCCGGCCAGGGGGCACGCCGTGACTCCACCTGGAGAAGGAAGAGCGCCGCTGTGGGCCTCCCTGCCCCCCGGCCCGCCTGGCCCCCGGCCCGCCTGGCCCAGGCGGGGGCCCCTCACCGCCAGGCCGCCCACCCACGCCCTCTGCCCCCCCCCGCCCCCTGCAGGTCGGGGCGACCTTCCCAGCAACCGTTCCCTGCCACACATGCACCTGCCTGTCTGCGGACAGCAGAATGCTGACTGTGCACTGTGCGGAGGACACCTGCAACACCACCTGTCCCCAGGTGAGCTACCCCTGGCTCACCCACCTGGCAGCATCCTTGACACTGGTACCCAGACCCCAGGGCAGATTCCTTAGCTCGGCCTGTGCCGGGGCCTTGATTTTCCCTGAGAGGAGGTCACGAAGCGGGAGGGCAGGGTGTGCATGCGTGTCTGTGTGTGTGTAGGGGTACGGGGGGGGCAGGGCTTGCAGGCTGCTGGGGGCTAGGGTCGGGTTCTAGGGAGGCCGACGTAGATGCGGAGGGGCTGGAAGCAGGGCGAGGCTGAGGCAGGACCAGGGGGCAGCCCCTCTCGCTCAGAGCCAGGCCCGGACGAGCTTCTGTCTGCCCCCAGGGCTACCAGTACTCCGCGGTGGCCGGGCAGTGCTGCGGGGAGTGCACGCTGGCAGCCTGCCTCACGCCCGATGGCCAGGTGCTCCAGGTAAGGGGGGCCGGGTCCCAGCCCTCCACCCAGGAGACCCTCCCCGCCAGCCCTCCTCGGACCACAAGACCACCCTCACCCCGCCTTCCACTCGTCCCCGTGCCTTTCAGCCCAACGAGACCTGGGTCAACAGCCTGGTGGACAACTGCACCCACTACCACTGCCAGGTCGAGAGAGGGGTCCACGTGCTGATCCCCAGGCCCGAGGCCTGCCCAGACCTGTCCAGCTGCAGGGTGTGTGCCGGGGGTATCCGACAGCTCGCTGGCTGCCGCGCCCGGGAGGCCCCGCCCACACCCCGCCCCGCCCCGCCCCGGAATCCACGCCCCACCAGGGGCCACGCCCCCACACACGAGGCCACGCCCACCATCTGGAATCCCCGCCCCTGCTCGGGAGACCACGCCTTGTCCCGCCCTGAAACCCACACCCCACCTAGGGCCACGCCCCCACCGTAAAGGCCACGCCCACCCCGCCCTGGAATCCCCGCCCAAGAGGCCCTCTGGAGCTCTCCCCCGCCCCCAACCCTTTCTCCCTCCCTTGCTGCAGGGCATCCTCAGGAAAACCGGCTGCTGCTTCTCCTGCGAGGAAGAGGGTAAGTCGAGGCCGCCCTCCTGCTCTCCAGCTGTGTCCAGCCTCCGCCCACTGGCTCACCCCCGCCCCCGGGCCTTCGGAGCCACACCCTGAGCGGCCAGCTCAGCGGGGTCGGGTCTGTTGAGACGCCCTCACCTGCCCGCCCTTTCCTCTGTCCAGACTCCTGCCGGGTCCGCGTCAACAGGACGGTGCTGCGGCACCAGGGCTGCGAGGCCCCGGTCAACATGACCTTCTGCGAGGGCCCCTGCCCGGGAGTGTCCGAGTGAGTGGGCCCGCGCCTGCCCTGCCCCCGGCCCCCTGCAGACCAGCGGGAAGGTGCCCAGGCCGCACATCGCCGCACAGTGACGATGGCAGCCGCCCTTGGCCCGAGGCCCTGCCCTGGGTCCTGGGTGGTCCAGAGGGGAGAGGGTGACCACGGAGGCGCTCCCCTCTGTCCGCACCTGTCTGTCCGTCCGCAGAGTGCCCCTCCGAGCCAGGCCCCGACAGCCAGGCACAGAGACGGCTAGCTGCGCTCGGGGGGCAGGTTCAGGGCCTTCCGCCAGCCCGGCTCTCGGGGCAGAGCCAGCCCCCTGGCCTGGGCCGCGGCCAGCAGTGAGCCCTCAGCCGGAACAAGAGGGTGGACGGCCCGGGGCAGGCTCCTGGAGGAGGGGTCTGTGGGGTCAGCAAGGTCGGTGGGGGGAGAGGGTGCCTGGCCAGAGAAGCTAGGGATCCAAATGACCCCGACCGCCCACAGGGCCGCCCCAGGCTCGGGCAGCGCAGCCCGGCACCCGCACACCAGCGCGGGGCGCTCCGGGCGGTGAGGCGGCGTCTGAGGTCCGTGTGTCCGCAGGTACTCCCCCGAGGCCCGGGCCATGCAGCGGCGGTGCACCTGCTGCCGGGAGACCAGGGCCCACGAGGCGGCGGTGGCCCTGCGGTGCCCCGACGGGACGGCCGTCCAGTACACCTACACCCACGTGGAGCAGTGCAGCTGCACCCCCGCCCCCGCCTGCGTGCCCGAGGCCCCCTCGGACCGCACCTACGCCCACATGTCCTAGGGGCCGCCGCCGTCTGACGCCACCGTGCCCCGCCCACCTCCCACCTGCCCAGGGTGGAACCCACACCCCGGCGGCAGCGGGAAACAGACAGTGCGGTGGGGGTCCAGCTGAGGGGGCCACGAGGCAGGGGACCCCTCCGGCCCATCCCGGTCGCCCGCCCTGCCCTCAGCGCCAGGCCTCCTCTGGAACAAGCACCCCTCCCACCAGACGCGCCCCTCGCCGGCATCGGAGGGGCCGGGCTGTGCTGCCCCCACTGCAGGCCTGCAGGCCGTGGAGCGTGGCCCCTCCCGCAGCACTGACACCTGCCCGGGCGGGGCCTGCTGCCTCTGGGGGCGGTGCAGGCTGGGTGGCCGGCCGCCCGCTCACGTCTGGACCTGGGGCTGAGCGGCCGAGGGGCGGCCGGGGAGGGGTCAGTGCTGGAAGCACCGCCTCCGCTCCCCCAGCCCCAACCTCGCAAATAAACGCTGAGCATCGTGCACACGTGGTGGTCCTGGCGTCTCTTCCGCCGGCGGGCTTCCCGGGCCCCCCTCCTGGGGCCTGGGCTGTGCAGGGGCCCCCAGGCTGCACGGCACCCCCGCGGCCTGTGCTGCCCCCGCTGGGAGGGGCAGGAGGGCGGGGACAGGAGGCCCAGCGGCCTGGGCCAGTCTCGAGTGGGCTGTGGGGGCCCTGGCAGGAGCCAGGGGTCAGCCAAGGGCTCGGGAGCACCCTCCCCGTTACTTCGAACGCTCCGGGCTGTTAGGAAACTGGTGGCAGATGGTGGGGCCTGGGCCGGAAGCGGCTGCCCCCGCAGGCTGGCTGCGCGGGGCGGGGGAGGGCACAGTGCTGCTCGGACCCGAGGGAGCCGCCCCCACCCCCGGCGCGGCAGCCCCTCCTCCCCGGGGGTCCTTTCTTCGGGGAGCCAGGCCCACCTCCACTTGTGTGTTTGCTGCCGGCTGCCCCCCAGGCAGGGGCTCCCCTCTCCTCTCTCCGCCGCCCCCAGAGCAGGGCCCGCTGTCCGCACGTGTCGGGGTGCAGGCTGTGAACGCGCCAGTGGGGGGCACGCGTGGGCCCTGGGACGTGGGGGCTTGACCCTCGCGGGAAGGAGGACTGACTCCAAGTGGACAGGAGGGTCATGGGCAGCAAGGCCGTGGCCGGTGGGGGCGGGGCGCCCCGGGGGAGGGCCTTCTTGCGGGGGAGGGCCGGGCTCCTCGGTGGGCACTGCCAGGGCTCGCGCCCTCGCCCCCTCCTCGGGGAGCCCGGTCAGGACAGGCTGCCGCCGGGAGGTGGCCCTGCAGGGTGACAAGGCTGCAGGTTCGCTGAAGGTGGGGCCGCCTGCCCGCCCCTGGGGTCACCCCGGAGGTCACTCCTGTGAGCTGGCCCTGTGTCTCGCGGTCTGAATTCCTGGGGCTCTCCGAACGTCTCGTCTTCCATGCCAGCCCCCGAAGGGTACAACGGGGGCGACCGAGGAGAACGGGCACTGGCCGCTGCGTCGTCGCCTGAAGCCGCCTCAGGCGGTGGGGGCTTGCGAGGTCGGGGAGGCGCCACGGCCGCCCCGCCGGCGCTCTGCACCCCCTGCGAGCGGAAGCCCCGGGTCCGGAGCGCAGCGCCCCTCCCCCCACGCCGCCCGCTGCTCCAGGAGGGCGGGCGCAGCCGGTGGGGCAGGGGGAGACAGGCCGCGGCTACTGCGCTGGGGGCTGACGCCGACCGCCCTCCGCCACCACCCAGGCCTCCCCGAAGCTGCAAGTCTTCACCCAACAGGCGCAGCTCCGAAACAGGTCCGCCAGGACAGGCCTCCGGCGACTCTGGGCGGGCGGCCGGCCCTCCTGCTCTCCCCCACACGCTCCCCCACCCCGACTCCCGCGCTGGCCCTGCCCTGCCGCCCGAGCCCTGGTCTCTGCTCCGTCCCCCTGGGCCCGGTCTGTCCTCTTACTGCAGACCGGGGTGTCCAACCCGCCGTCACCGGGGCCACAGCAGCCTCCAGGTTGCCCTCGAAGGGCTGGGGGCCGTGCTAGGGCGGTGTGAGTGTGACTGCTGCTTCACAGGTAAGCGAGGGCCCAGCGCTGGCTGCCGCCGGGCAGAAACCAGGTGCCGGGCCGGGCTCGGCCCTCGGTCCTGGTGTTTGCCGCCTGTGCTGCAGACAACAGTCCTCCGAGTCCTGTTTTCTTTTCAATTTTTTAAAAAAGATTTACTTTTAGAGAGGGGAAGGGTGGAAGAAACATCAGTGTGTGGCCAGCCGCCCCTCGTGCGCCCCCCGCTGGGCACCTGGCCCGCAGCCCAGGCCCTCTGAGCCCCGAAGGCCCGCCCGGGGCCGGTCTGTCTGAGGGCGTCTCCGCAGGGTGCCGCCCCCACGACGGTGTCCCCGGTCTTCTTCGCCGCCGGACCCCCCCCCCCCCAGAACCGCCAGGGCGTCCTGCTGGGTTAGGGCACCGCCTGCGCCGCAAGCCTGTGACTGCCCAGTGTCCGCTCTCTCTAAGGGAGGGTCACTGCTGTGGTGCCGGCGACGCCTCACGGCCCACAGGCCGCGCAGCAGGCGGTCTCAGGGGCGTCCTGGGCTGCGTGGACATTCGACACTAGGAACGTGTTTCCCACCACGGCACCGAGGGCCCCCACCCCGTGGGCTTCCCCTTCACTGGCAGAAACGTAGGGCCCCCTCTTCCCTGGGGCTTCGCCCAGTGCAGGGAGGGAGTCCTCGTGGGGCTCCCCAGGGGTCTCCAACGAAGCCCGGGGACAGCTCCGTGCTCCCGGGGCCCAGCCCGCGGCCCACAGGGCGCGTCGAGACCGGCCGTGAGCGCGGCCCTGGGGAGGCTGTGCGGACGCACGGGCGCACTCCAGGCAGCGGCCGCGGTCTGCGAGGGCCTGTGCTGCGGGGCCGGCGTTTGGCCTGGCCCGGGGCCCCAGCCGCCCACTCAGTGGGGCCCCTGTTGACGCGAGCCGCCCGCCCACCCGCGGCAGGGCGCTCGTCCAAATGCGGTGGCCAGCCCTGCGGCTGTGAGCGGAGTTACAGACAGTCGGGGACACCAACGGTCAGTTTCCCTGAAGGACTTTAATTCTCTATCTTCATATAGATCATTTGTTAAATTAGAAGGCTGAAAAGTAAAAATATATTTTACAATCAAAGAAAAGTCTGGACAATGGACCCACGAGAAGAGCCCGACACAGGAGGCCTCGCTGTGCCGATGCGCGGGGGGGTGGGGGGAGCCGGGGACGGGGCGCCGGGGAGGGGCGTTCGGGAGCCCGCGGGGCCAGAGGGGGCGGTGGGCCCCAAGGCCTGAGTCTGCAGGGCCCGCCCGCCCGGTGGCTCCCCTGTGGGGAGTGGCCGCCTGCTTCACCCGACGACGGCCTGGTGCGGGGGGGCCTTTCGGGGACCAGTACAAAAGTGTCCGTGAGAAAGGGGGGTGGAGATGTGGCAAGTGCAGGTCCCCCAACCACTGCGCCCGGCCCACGGGGTCGCCCTCCAGCCGAGTGTCCACTCTGGGGCTGGGCGCGAGCGCGGCCTCCTGGGGCTCGGCCAGGGGAAGGCAGAGAGCAGTGCTGGTCGTGGCCAGCGCCCGGCCCGCTCGGGAGCCACTCGGACTCGGGGCAGCCGCAGCCTGCCCCGTGCTTTCGCCCGCCGGGAGCGGCCAACGCCCCAGCCGCTGGCCCGTGCTGGTGGCAGCAGGAGAGGGCGGCGCTCGCGGGCCCCAGCCGGGGGTCGGAACCTCTCGGACGGTGGCGGGCCTGTGCGGAGACCCCCTGGCCAGCGCCACCCAGCACCGCGCCCTCTCCAGGCTCACGGCAGCAGGCCGCCAGCAGGCCGCCGGGCCGGACACACAGCCCCGAGGGGGCAGTCTTCGCCACGAGGGCCTGCCCGCCTGCAGGGGAGCGGCCAAGGTCTGCCTTCTGCCGGCCAGCGCTGCAGACGCCCCACCGGGAAGACTGCACAACCTCGGGCCGGCCGGCTCCTGGGGGAGGGAGGGGGCTGCGGCTGGGCGCGAACTGAACCCCCAAGACTCGAGGACTCGAGAGAGGCCAGCTCGTGGGTGTGGGTTAAAGTGCGTCGTCTCTGGGAAACCCCTCAAATATCCCCAGGTGCCACCCACCCACAGGTCCCTGCCCTGTGCCCGCAGCTGCAGCAGGGCCAGGGTGCGGGCTGTCACACGCACCTCCAACCGGGAGGGCACCTTGCAGACCCTGCCCCGCACCGGGCCGAGCTCCCCAGACAGCAGTGTTCCCGGAACCAGCGTGGCCAGAGCGCCAGCAGGCCCCACCCCCTCGCTCAGCAGAGCGCCCCGCCCACCGCTCCTCACCCCCGCTGCGGCTTCCGGTGCACGCGGCACACCGGGGCAGGCGGTGCAGCCCCGAGGAAGGACAGGAGGGACCTCCGAGCTCAGGACGGGCCTGGCCTGACACCACCGCGGGCTGGGAAGGGGCTCAGGCAGACATCCGTGGCTGAGGCCTGGCCGCCCCACGCCGGCCAGGACCGGTGAGCAGCCCGGCGCACAGGCAACGCGGAGGGAGGGAGGGGGGGAGGGAGGAAGGGAGGGAGGCCACCCGCAGGCGCACCCCGGCGGGCAGTCGCGAGCGGCCGTCAGGAGCCAAAACCCCACGTGCGTCCCCAACGGGGTGTGGACTTGAGCAACACGGTCCTCCAAGGCCAGGGCTGCACAGGGCTCGCGACAGGAATCTCGTGGGGAACCCTGGGTGGGCGAGCCCGGAGGGCCGGCGGCGGGGGGCGGGGCGGGGGCGGGGCCTAGGACTCCTCCCCCATCTGGAGCAGCGAGTTGACGGCGGCGTCCTTGTTCCCCCTCTGGGCCTCCAGCACGGAGCGGACCACCTCGCGGTCCATGTTGGGGAACATGTCCTGCACGGCCCTCAGGTCCTCCTCGCTCCAGCGGGGCGCGGCGCTCACGGCGGCCGGGGGCAGGGCCACGGGCACCACGCCGGGGCCGCACACCGCGGGCACTCCTGCAAGCACAAGACGGGGTCAGGGGGCGGGCGAGGCAGCAGCCGGCCCGAGGGCCAAGGGGCACGGCTGCTCCGAGGCACCTGCCTCCACCGCTGCCCCTGCCTTCGGGCTGGCCGTCCGCAGGTGGGTCCCCTCGGCCCGGAGGTGAAGGGGGCCCCCCACCCCTCCTCGCAGGGGTGTCTGGCGGAGGCAGGGTCACCCAGGCGGCACCCGCGCAGAAGGGGACCGACCTGGGCCGGCGGGGTGGCTGGCCACGGTTGGGACACTCCAAGGGCGCTGTGACCCCTCCTTCCTTGTCCGAGGACTCGGGACCGGGGGGCTGCCCGTCCCACCACTGAGGCACGCGCCCCCGACAGGAGGGACCTCTCCTGGGCTCTGAGCCCACCAGACAGGCGCCCGGCAGTGTGCCGCAGACCCGCCCTCTCCCCGTGGGCCGGTGGAACGTGGGGAGGGGAGAGGCCGCTTCAGCGGGCTGCGAGGCCGGCTGCAAGGTGCCTGTGTGGCGCTCCCGACGGGGAACAGCCCCCGCAGCCCTGCCCCGGGGTCGCACAGGCCAGGCCCGTGTGCCCGCGCCCAAGGGCCGCGCACTGCCGGCCCGGCGGCCCCGAGCTCCCAGAGCGCCCGCACCTCCGTGGGAGACGCTGGCCAGACCCCGGGAGCAGGCACCGCAGGGCCTGGCAAGAGACGCCAGCGGAGCCACCCCCCCACCCTCGGCCACACAGATGCCACCCCCACGGGCCGCAAGCGCTGGTTCTGCAGCCTGGCGGCGCCGGGACCCACTGACACCGGGGCACCGGCACGGGCGCCCCGTCCAGCACCGGCGCAGCGGAGTGCGCCCCTGCCCATGCAGCCCAGCCCAGCCTGGAGGCCACCACCACCACCCGTGCGGGGCAGAGCACCAAGGGACGCTGGGGACAGGGCTCAGCGACGCTGAGGGCGCAGGCCCCTCGGGAAGGGCGCGGGACAAAGGAGACCCCCAGGGCGGCGCCGGCCCCTTCGTGCTGGTGCTGGCGAGTCTGACCCTCGGCACGCCCCGGGGAAGCGGGGGGAGGGTGTCCTGAGCGAGGTGGGGTTGGGGCGGGCGACGGGGCCTCGCCCTCACCGGCTCACGCCGAGGGCGGCGTCAGCGTCAGGTGTCTGTGGCGACCTCCACTGGAGGGAGCTGGGAGGGGGGTGTGAGGGGGGGGGGGGGGGCGCTGGCTGGCCCTGACCCGCTCTCGGCGTGGTTCTGACGCTGTCGGCCACGCCACGAAGTCAGGCCGCCCTCCCCGAGAGCCGGGGCTCAGGGCTGGGCCAGGCGGACACGCAGCGGCCTCGCTCCGAACTCCACCCAAAGAAAGTGCCGGCACTGCTGCTTCTCACGCCGAGACCCGTGCCCGACGGCACAGCCGTGCCCGAGCACGTGGGCAACCCAGTCGGGGCAGGCTGAGGGGTGCGCCGCCCTGGAAGGAACTGCGGGACTCGGGCCGGCCCCACCGCTCAGGAGGGCGGCGAGGGCACCCAGCGGACGCCGTGCTCAACACCGGCCCCCCCCATGACGGCTGCTGCGGGCCTGGGAGGTGGGGCGGGGCGGGGGGAGGCCGGCGGAGTCCAGGTGCTGTCCTGGCCAAAAGGGAGTGTCAGTCCAGTCCATAGGCTAAGGCTCCGAAAACTCAAAGACACAAGAGCCACAGTGCAGCTGACTTTGCTGCACCGCCACCCAGGGCCCGTCTGCGGGGGCAAACGGCGCACGAAGACGAATGCGACACCGTGGGCCCGTCAGACGCGCGGTGCACGTCTCCAGGGGAACGCGCCCTCTGTCACGGCAGCGCACGCGCTGGAACGCTGGAAGGTCACGTCTACGGCCCGTGGGCTCCGAGTCCCCGATCCACGCCAACGGTCAGGGAAAACGCAAGCCCCACTTCGCGTGTGCACAAAATTTTCAGGGTCGCCTCTGACCCTTGCTTCTGGAAGGCCCTCGTGCCTCCCGAGGACCGGGCTGTCTCCAGGCCGCGCCCAACCCCCACAGCACCCCGCATCCAGCAGCACCCCAGGAAGCACTCACCTGTGAGCGGCACGTAGCCGACGCCCTGCTGGTACACCGTGGGCATCAGCACCACAGGCTGCGGCGGCATCACCATGGCGGCCGGCACCGACTGCAACACAGCAGAGGCCGCCGCGCGGTCACAGGGCGAGCACGCACCGGCCTCCGCCCGGCCGGCCCACCAGAACGTCCAGGGAGGGCGGGGCCCAAGACACCCCTGCCGCACAGAGGGGACCTCCAGGCCGCCAGGGAAGCCCCTCCGGAGAGGGGCCGGGACCCCACGACTCAGCCTCCGCCCAACACGGCCCCTCCCACAGCCAGGGAGGGCCGGGGGGGCGGGGGGGCGGGGCAGGGCCCACCGGCTTCAGACGGAGGCCCCAGCTCCCCCAGGGCTGAGGGCCCCGCTCCCCCGGGGCCGAGGGCTCCGCCTCGCTGGCAGGTGCCCCTGCCCAGGCCGTCGGGGGCCCCTGCGGGACCCGCCCCGGGGCCGTGCGCACACGCTCACCGAGTAGGACATGACCAGGTTGATCATGCCCTCCTTGTCGTCGCCCTGCCGCCCGCTGAGGCAGTGCCACTTGTCCTCCACCTCGCCCTGCCGCAGGGCCTCCGAGATGGCGATGTGCGTCCAGGCGATGCGGTCGTCCGTGGAGAACGCACGCTGCGGGGGAGGGGCGGGGGGCCGGTGCTGAGGACCTCGCCCGCCCAGCCCACCTCCCGAAGCCCCGCCCCTCCAGGGAGCCCCTACCCTTGGGCGCGGGCCCTCCACAGCCCCCAGGCGGCGTGTCAACGGAGACCAGCTGCCTCGGGGCTCCGTGCCTCTCGCCCCTGGCGTCGAGGCCCGCCCACGCCCCGGACCCCAGGCAGGGGCCGTGCAGAGGAGAGAAGGTGCCCTCCGAGCCGGCCACGCCTCTCCAGAGGGACCGAGGGGCCACCCCCCGGCCTCGCCGCCCACCCTCACCCCGGGCGCACTTACCTGCGGAGGCACCTGGCTGGGCCGCAGGAGGAGCAGGGGGCTCCCAGCCAGGTGCCTGGAGGACCAGGCCGGGGAAGAGCCCCGCCGCCCCCACCTGTCACACCCCGGGGCCCCTCGGAGGGACCGACCCCTCACACCCGCCCTGTTCGCTCGGCCAGCGGCCTCCGGGCGTCTGGTCTGGGGGGATGTGGGCCGGCGCTCCACAGGCGCCGTCCCTGGTGATGGCGTGTGTGGGCCCCACCCCGCGCAGGGGCGGCGCCGAGCACTCTGCTGTCACTGGCAGCGGTGTTTCTGGTCGTGGAAGGGCCTGCCCGGCACGCTCGCCCTGCACTCCTGCCAGGGCGGCCAGGGCCCCGCCCCGGGTGTCTCCAGCCACCCCCCCCCGCAACTCAGCCTGAGCCCGGGGGCCGGGCAGGATGCCGCCCCTCACCTCGTCGAAGATCTCCAGGTAGAAGGAGTCCACGCCGGGGGGCACGGTGCAGTGGATGACCTTGTTCCAGCGCGGGTTCTTGGCGCCGTTGTGGGCCGTGGGCGTCTCATACACCGCGTAGCCCAGGCGCAGCCGGCAGTAGGGGTCCATGCGGGTCATGCCGTAGTTCTTCGCCAGCTTGGCCTGAAACGCGGCCGACGTCAGAACCACGGGGGCCGTGGCCACCGGGGAGCGTGCAGGCTCGCCGGCGCCGCCCGCCCCCGACCCGTCGGCCCGCGAGTCCGGGGGCCTGATCCAGCCCCTGGGGCCCGTGGCGCGTGGGTGGCAGAGCCCCGGGGAGATGAGACGCCCACATGTGCCCTGCCCCTGGTCAGGCACGCGAGCGAGGAAACGCTGGAAGCAGGAGCAGCCCCCTGTGCTGACGCAGAGCCCAGCCCCGGCCCCGGCCTCCCCCCGCACCCCTCCACACCCACCTGCACCACAGTGATGTTGAGGCGGTCCACCGTGCCCACCGCCCCCCCGTACTGCAGCTGCTGGGCCGCCTGCGCGTCCAGCTGCACTTGCTGCTGCTGCTGCGTGGGCGCGATGCGGAGGAAGTCCTGCGGGAGCTCGCCGAGGTACACCTGCCGCGGGGGGGACATGCCAGTGAGCAGGGCGGGGCCGGGGGGGCGGGACCGGGCCCCTGGCACCTCCAGGGCCCGGACGCCCGGGCCACACTGGGCCTCCATGTCTTCGCCCAGACAAGGGGTGGCCACCAGAGTCAGGGGTCCAGCCCAGGACCCCATCACTCGGCAGGTGCTGCGACCCTCATGAGCTCTGCGAAGGTCACGCTGCTGTCCCTAAAGGAGGGACATCTCAAACAGACTCGCTGGGCGGTGTCTGGCCACTTCTGGGCGTCTCGCACCCTCTGCCTGCCCATCTGGGACCCACCCCCCAGGGCCACTCAGGTGCCGGCCAGGCCTGCCGGTGGCCGGGCCCCGCTCACACAGACGACGAGGGGGCCTGAGCCCTCCACAGGGCCGCTCCCCACGCTCTGCATCCGACAGCTCTCGTTCCAGGCGCCCGCCCGCCTGCCCGCCCGCCCCACAGCAGGTCCGCGGGGAGCCGCAGGGACCCTGCCCCTCCCCTCATGGCACTCGGTCGCCCGACTCCCAACCGGGGAGAAGGAAGGAGCCCGGGAGGGCGTGGCTCCCGGGCTGGACAACATGTTCCAGGGACATGTGGGGGTGGGGGTGAACCCAAAGGGCTCCCAGAGAGCAGTGCTCCCAGAGCAGCGGGGGGAGGAAAACCAGAACCGGTGGGGACACGTGGACAGTAAAGCGCCTCAGTCAAGGCCCCCGGACAGACCGACCGGAGCCAGAAGCAGGTGTCTGGGTCCCGGGCCCGAGCCAAGGACCGCGCCAGCACCCACGCCTCCGCTCCTCCCCAGGCGGCGGCTGCAGGGCCGTGGGGCGAGAGACGCCCAGAGACTGGAGCGGCTGCAGCCAGGCCAGCACACGCCCCGGACGGGGAGGAGCCTCGGGACCCGAGACCAGAGGCTGCAGGCGGACGCGCCGGAGCCACTCCGGTGCCAACAACCCCAACCCCGCGCTAGGACCCGGCCGCCCACCGCAGGGACCCCCTGCCACGGCGCCGGCCGCTCGGGCGGGACGTGGCCGCCTCCCCGCTGTGCCGTCGCCCAGTCCCCGTGGCCGTGGCCCAGGCTGAGCCACGGGACAGAGACCCTCGCAGCCTCCAACAGGCAGGAGCTGTCCCCGAGCCCCCCGCCCCCTGGGCACCTGGCAGAGGGGCCGCACAACCCCTGAGCGAAAGCCACAAAGGAGGTTCGGTGCCTAAAAACACCGTCTACGAAACTAGTGCTCTAGTCTGGTGGGGGGGGTGGTTTGTTCTAATTTACTTACACTCCCCCCCCCATGGTTTTTTAAAATCCTCACCCAAAGATTCGCTCCCTGATTTTAAAGGGAGAGGGCTGGAGAGAGGGAGAAAGAGAGGGACACCCACTGGCTGCCTCCCGTGCGCGCCCCGACCAGGATGGAACCCGCAACCCTCGGCGCAGAGGGCCGCGCTCCAAACTAGCGAGCTGCCCCGCCGGGGCCCTGCTGGCTGCTGTTGAGGGACGCACAGGCGCGCCCACTCACCCGCGCTGCATGCCTGAAACTAAAAGCTACTTTTATGAATACCAGTCTGTTTTCCACACGGTAACGTTGTATTCCCCAGAGCCGCTGGTTTCCCCCCACCGGCCCTCAGAGGGAAGCACAACCAATAGGCTTACTCCCGACAGCCGCTCCCTCCTGAGCCAGGCCGGGCTCCCCTCCACCGAGGCGCACTTTCTAGAAAGACGCAAGGACTCGCGGAACCTGGCTGTCTAAAACGAACGCGCCCCGCGTCCCAGCGTGGGTCTGGCCCGGCAGCGGTGTGCCACTCCTGCCGTGCCGTGTGGGCTCCTGCCCCGTGCCAGTGAGGCCAGCCTGACAGGGAGAACCAGGGCCACCGAGGCCACTCCTCCCGCCGCCGCCAAGGGGCCCCACAGGGACCCCAGCCGGGGCGAGGCTTCAGCCTGTCCCCCGCAACAGCCTCTCCTGCCCGAGCGAAGCCCCACGCCAGCCCAGCCCCTGGGCCACCTGGGCACAGGCCTGGGGCGGGCCCCCCGGCCTCGCATCTCCGCCCTCCAAGGGCCTTTGTAAGCCGTCCTCCTGCCCGCCGCCCACCCGTCTGCCCGCCGCGGCGGCATGTTAGCGTCGCAGCTGCGCGGGGTCTGCCGGCGTCCCCGGGCCGGCCCGCACCGTGTCCGGGAAGCAGCGAGGGGCATGCGGGCTCTCCGCGGCGTGCAGCGCGGCCTCGGGATGGGGAGCAACCGGTGTTCACGCCGCAAGTCGGAGTGGAACCGGAGCAGCTTCCTAGCTCTGTGGGGCTGCTTTCAGTGTGGCTCCCTCACGCACCGCCTGTCGCGCAGCAGGGCACACACAACCCACCACGAGGCCCTGGTCCAGCCACCGCCCACGCCCACGCATGGTCCTGTCCCCCGTCCCCCGTCCCCCGCCCCGAGTCGCCAGGGCCTGCCCCCCTGCCGGCGTCCTTGTTCCTCGAAACAGGAAAAGGAGGGGAAAGGCCGCCTGTGCGGGCGCTCGCCGCCCCCCAGACCCACGGGCCCCCCACGGGGACGCCACGGAGCGCCCTCCCCGTTCCACCGTTTCCAGTCCCACGGCAAAGACCGGCCCCCGTCCCCTCCTGCCACCCCCGCCTTCCCAGCTTCTCAGTTACTCTGGACAGGCCAGGCGCTTCAAGGCCACGACGCCCGGCCGTCCCAGCTCTGCCGGGGTCCACAGTGGCCACCAGAGCCTGGGGCTGGCGAGGGGGCGGGGACTGCCCCGAGCGCAGGGGCTGCAGAGCGGAGGGGACTGCAGCGTGCCCCGCTCCCCAGACCTGGGGGGCCCACAGCGCGGCCTCCCGTCCAGGTGCTGGGGCGGGGAGCCAGCCTGAGGCGGCCCCCCCACTCCACTGGAACGAGCCCTGGCCGGGGGGCTCAGCCGGTTGGGGTGGCCTCCCCTGCGCCAAAAGAATGCAGTTTGATTCCTGGTCGGGGCACAGCCCCGGGCTGTGGGTTTGATCCCCAGTAGGGCGCACACGGGAGACAACTGATCGATGTCTCTCTCGCACTCTCCAGAGTCAGTAAAAGCACATCCCTGGGTGAGGGTTAGCTTAAAAAGCCACAGCCACCAACCAGCCAACCAGAGGGCTGAGGGGCGCCCAGGGCCGGGATGACGGGGTGGGCACGGCGCTGGTGGCGGGGCTCAGGTGGTGGGCACCCGGCAGGTGGCGAGGCCTCGGCGTGCGTGGGGGCGCCCGCGCCTCAGTGAGCGACGAGGAGGGGCTGGACGGGAGGGCTGTGGGGGCTGCGGGAAGAGCCCGCAAGGGGCAGGGTGGGGCCCCCGAGCAGGAGGGGCCCTCAAAGCCCAGGGACGTGAGGGCATCAGCCTCGGAAGCTGGGGGGAGACCGAGGCGGGAGGAAGAGGAGACTCCGGTGCGGAGACTCGGCCGCCCAGGAGCCTGTCTGGCAGGGGGGTGGGGGTGGGAGGTGGCTGAGACGGACAGCGCAGGGCAAACAGGTCAGAGGTGGAGGATGGGCGGCAGGAGTCTCGGCCTTGAGACCAGGAGCCCAGCGTGCCTGGGGCCGACCGGCCGGACCAGGCAGGCCGGTGGGGCGGGGTGTGGGTGTGGGTGTGGGTGGGGCCGAGGTCAGGAAGAACCTGAGCTGAGACGGCTCCGTGGGCAGCGCCGCAGGCCGTCCTGAGGGGTCCAGCGGGGCAAGGCCACCCCGAGGCTCTGGCCTGAACAACGTGAAGGACAGAGGGGGCTCCAACTGGGGGCAGACCCGCTGAACCCACACGCGCACGCGCAGTGGGGGCGTCTGAGGGAAGGAGGAGGCTGCCCCGAGGTGTCCGGAGCACTCCAGGCAGGGCCAGGACACGTGGGTGCAGAGTTGGGGGCGGGGTGCTGAGCCCCGAGAGCTCTGAGCGAGCGAGGACAGGCCGAGACGAGGGGCGACAGGGGCTGCGGGAGGGAGCCCGGGCGACGGCAGTGACCCAGGGCAGGGGCCGCGGCCTCACAGGCCCCAGAGCCCACACGGGACGTCTCCCGAGCGCCGAAGAGGAGCCGCCGCTCCAGCCCCGGCGCCCCCCGCGGTCCCCGCCCTCCGTGCCCAGAAGCGCAGGCGGCTTCCCGCGGGCGCAGCCGCAACCCCGCACGGCCAACCGCCCCCCGCCCCCCGGCCCGCCAGCGTGGAAACCACAGGCCGTGGGGGGCGGGCACAGAGGACGGAGGCGGGGAGCGCGGGCCGGCGGCCGTGGGGAGCAGCCCAGTGAGCTCTGAGAGAGGGGACCCCGTCTGAGGGCCCGGCAGCCGAGGGCTCCGTGCACCCCCTGAGTGCACGCCCACCGGCCCACCGGCCCACCGGCCGGCGTGAGAACGGGTCCCGCACGAGGACTCAAGACTCAGAGACGCCGAGCACCGCCCCGGGTTCCAGCCGAAGCGCACGCAGATGGTCCACACGAAGTCGCGGGCAGGCGCCACGCTCCTCCCGCAGAGCAGTGGCCGGAAGAGGGCGGCGGACCTCCTCACGGCCGGGCCCGGAGTGGGGGCCGAGGGAGACCCTCGCGCGCCGCCCCAGTGTGGCCCTCCCGAGCTCGCCGCCGGCCGCCGGAGGAGGACGTCCTGGAGGGCGGGGGACTGGGGGGGCGGGGGCGGCGTCACGCCCGGACCCTGAGCCCTGACCCCTGACGAGGACGGCCGTGACCAGAACAGGAACACAGCCCCGTACACACTGTCCAAACCAGCAAAGAGCAAAAGGCTGAGCTTGTTAAAGCTATTTACTCAATTCAAAACAAGGCAAGGAGAGAAAAAGAAACAAAAAATGAGACAAATGAAAGTACGAAATGCCGGGGTGGCGTGGCTCCGTGGCCGAGCGCCCGACTGGGACTGGACGGGGCGCCAGTTTGACTCCCGGTCAGGGCACACGCCTGGGCCGCGGGCCGGGCCCCGCAGGGAGCGTGGGAGAGGCAGCGGACGAACGCACCTGTCAAATGTGGACATTTCCCTCCCTGTCTCCCCCCTTTGCTCTAAAAGTAAACAAATAAAATCTTTAAAAACCCCAAAACTACAAAATCTCTTTTTAAGAAATGAGTATGTTTATGAAGGACACATGGACAAAACCAAGGGGGAGGGTGGAAGAGAGGGAGGGAGGTGGGTTTGGCTGGGGTGGGGGAGAGTGGGGGGGGGCGCAGACAATTGTAATTGAACAACAAGAAAATAATTTTTAAAAAGAAAGAAAAAACAAATGTGTATGTTTAACAACACCCTTGACCCTGGGCCCCACCGGCCGGACTTCTGGGAGACCCGCTGAGTGGCAGCTGCCGTGCGTCCCCTCGGGCTGACGGGCACCGCCGTGCTGCACAGCCACGGGCCGCACGCCCGCAAGGGCTGGTGCTCGAGGCAGGGACCCCCCAGAGCCCCGGTCCCTGCAGGTGCCTGTCGGCGCGTCCTGAGAGTCTGTGAACCGGGCAGGGAAAGGGCTGCCCCTGCAGACGCACCAGCGTCGCCGAGACCGGGGCGAACAGCACAGGGTGGGGCAGCCCCTGCGGCTGCGCAGGGACGCACAGCCCTGGAAACGCGGACAGCAGGTCCCCTGGGCCCCGTCGGAGAGCCGCAGGGGTGCCGCCGCAGGGGACACAGCCCGGGACTGAAGGCAGGGGCCGGGCCCGCTGGTCTCCAGAGTCCGTCACGAGCGGAACCCGTTCCTGGGTGGGCAGGGATGGGGCCTGGGCAGAGCCGCTGCCCAGGCTGCACGTGCCACGGCGAGCTCTCGCCCGAGGCTGCCTTTGCCGGCACGCGCTGGCCCTCGGCTCCTCTCAGTGGACGGGCCGAGCCCCTGAGGGACTCCCGGCACCCCCCAGCACCCAGAGCGCCGGTCAGCGCCCACTGCCGAGGGAGAGCCCCTCCACCGGGCTCTGCTCCGTGGCAGGAGGCCCTGGCAAGCACCGGTCTGCCCGGAGGGGCGGGCCTCGGGTGGGGGAGGCAGAAACTACCGAGGGCGTGGGCCAGGAAGGATTGGCAGTGCAGCCACCAGATAAAACCCAGGGGCCAAATGCATGTGCCCCGGCAGCCCTGCCCCTCAGCAGGTGGCCACCGGCACCCATCAAACCCCTCGCTCAGCCACCCAGTGTCGGGCTCCTCCAGCACCTGACTCACTCCTACCCCCGCTGGCCAGCACAGACGCCCACCTGAGTTCAGACCCACCGTCCCACCTCACGGCCCCCCGCCCCCGCCCCAGGGCTCCTCTGTGTGGTCAGAGGACAGGCGGTAAGCTCCGCCGCAGGCGCTGCGCCTGCTCGCCCGCCTCCCAGAGCTGAGCTGCCACAAGGCAGCGACCAGCCAAACTGGCCGAGCGAGGTGCACAGCCGCCCCGGACCCCTGCCCCGAGGGCACCTCCCGCAGCCCAGCAGCTCCGGTGCAGACCCGGCGCTACCGCCCGCCCACAGGTCCCAGAGCCTGGTCTATGCAGGCTGCCCAGCCGCCCACGGACACGGGGCTGCTCCTCCACCACCACCCAGGAGGTCAGACAGCACGCGCGCGCGCGGTCACAGCACCGCCCGCCCGTCTGAACACCGACGTCCGCTCCCCGCCCCCCCGCACCCCCTCCGCGCGCCCAAGTGTCAGCGGCTTCAGCTGCGCGCAGTCGCCTAGGCGAACGCCCCTCGGGGAGGCGCGCACAGAGGAGGCTGGGGACCGGGAACTGCGGACGCCAGTGGCCCAGGAGCCGGCCCGGGAGCGCTGCCCAGCAGCCGGGCTTTCCCCGCGGCCCAGGCGCGCACAGGGGAGCTGGGGGCCGCCACTCGCTGCGAAGAGGTGGGGGGTCCCGACATCGGTCCGCTTCGGGCTGTTCCCGCCGGGACACCCGAGCAGCAGCCGGGGCAGCCCCCGCGGCTCGCGAGGCAGATGACGTGGAAAGACCTCCTCCCTCCAGGCGGGGGGGGGCGGCGTCGAGATGGCCCCCCGCGTAGTCCGAGGACGCGCGGCCCGGCCCGGCTCGCCCTCACTCGCGCCCACTTAGAGACACGGCCACGCCCGCGAGCCTCCCTCCGCCCGGAGAGGGCGGGCGACGGCCCCTGCGGGTCTCGGGGCCTCTCCCACCCGGGGTACAGGCGAGGAGTCCGGACACCCGTGGGCCCAGGGCCCCGCAGGAGCGCCCCTCCATCCCCCGACCCTTCCAGACACGGGGGCCCTCGGCACCAGGGGACCGCCCCCGCCAACCCCGCCGCCGGCGGCCCACTGGCTCGCCCGGAGCCCGGGAGCCGCACCGGCCGCCCGCGCCCGAGCGGGGAGCCCGCCCGCCGCGCCCCGCCGCGCCCGGCCCGGAGCCTCACCGGCCCGCGCTGCGTGCTGACGGTGGTCGCCATCGTGCTCCGCCGGCCGGCCGCGTCCACCGAGAACTGACGAGCCCGCGACCCTCCCCGCGGAGCCTGCGACACCGCCAACGGCTGTCCCAGCGAGGCCGCGGGCACCACAGTCAGCTGACGGGCGCTCCGCCCCGGCGCCGCACACTGCGCAGGCGCGCGCGGCCCCGCCCCTTCCGGCGCTGCGCGCGCCTCACGCGTGCTCCTGGACGGCGCCTGCGCAGTCGTCGGGCGGCCGCGCCCCGCCGCTGGGCGGCTGCTGGCACCTGGGTTCCTCTTGAGTAGGTCGCTTGGCTGGTGGAGCCCGGAGCTGCCCCAGAGGTGCGGATCCGCGCAGCCCCTCCCCGCCCGGAGCCTCCGCAAGGCTCATAGGGAACTCGAGAGTCCAAGATTTTGGCTGTAGCTATGTCGGTTGTCGTAAATGACTAATGCCCGCGGAAAACTGTTGTTCCCGGGGCCGGGACGCATGAACACGTGACTCCAGCAGGCGGCCAAGCCGGTGAACCTTCGCGCCCCAGCGGGATCTGCAGGCCCCGAGATGGTGCCGGAGCCCCAGGGAGGGGCACAATGAGGCAGATAAAGAAATACTAGGAAAATCTCCGGACTGCGGCTCCTACCGGGTTAACCTTTTTCCCAACCCCCTTACCTACCTTTTTTCTAAGGCCGGCTTCAGATGAGATGTTAAGACAGTTTTTAGGGTACATTACCCGTCGTCTTCGCAGATCCCCAGCATCTGAATAAAGCACCCATCAAGATTCAGTTCTTGTGTCTATTTACTGGTTCTGGTAGCGACGGTCAGTATCAACGCTGACCTTCCCAGTTCCGCAGCCTGCTAGCAACGGCCCCGTGCTGTTGTAAGAAGGTACTGAGTCGCTTTTCAGAGACAAGAACCAAAACCCCAAGTCGTGTGCCAGAAGCAGCACCCAGGAGAGAACTCGGACCTCCACCTGCACCCAGGACCAAAGTGGCCTGCGTCCCTCCCACAGAGCCAACAGGCCAGCTGGAGGGGAACTTGAACTCCAGACACTCAGGGCCCGTTGTCCTGGAGGATCCCGTCCTGAAGCCCCTTACCATGTATGGCCGAGGTCCTCCAGTTAAAACTTACCCGCCACACCTCCGCACACCTCCTCCCCAAGCCCTGCAAGCCTGCCCTGAACCCCGGATCAGGACACAGATCTAAGGTGCCACGGTGTCACCTGTGTACTTCGGGTAGCAGACCCTGTTAGGTGACGGCAGTCCCCAGTGTCTCAGGGAGGAAAGTCTCCGCCTTGGAGTCCCACACGAGCAGAGCGGAGGGTCCCAATCCCAGGGTCTGGTGGGCAGCCTCCTGCAGCTCCACGAGCCTCCTGGTGGGGGTGGAGGGGCGAGGGGCAGGAGAAGACACAGCCAGCCAGCATTAGGCACCTGATTTACCCCCAAAATCATCTGAGAGGTAGAGCCCTCACATGTACATTTTTAAAATGAGGAATCAAGCTAAGGGGGAGATGAGGGTGGGCTGGGGTGCTCCGGCCGGCCACAGAAGGACGGGAGTCCCCGTGTGGCAGGAACAGCGAGGTCCACTGCCTGGCCTCCGTGGGAGGCGGCACCGAAGCTTCCCACCACCCTCGTGGGCAGGCTCGTCAGCGGGGGCGCGGCAGGAACGGAAGCTGCCAACAGCGCCGGGTTGGGGGAGTCACCGACATGACCAGGAAACGGGGCTGTGACTTCCCCACGCCCGTGTCTGTGACGAGGCCTGGGGTGGTCATATCAGAGCTGCCTCCCTCCAGCACTGGTCTCACGTTCGCCTCCTTCTCTGCCCAGCGCTGCAGCTGCGTCTGCCCCAGAGCTGCTGGGGACAAGGGGTTCCTTCCGAGTCTCCCTCGGGGGAGGAACGGGAAGAGGCCCGCCGCCCTCCTGGGGGGCGTCAGCAGGCACAAAGAACATTGGGATGAGACGAGGCCGCCCTGCCCACGAGGCAGCCACAACACCACGACCACCCGGCCAGCGAGCGTGTGGGAGCACAGGCAGAGCGAGACCCATCCCCACCAAATGGCCAGCACCCAGCTTCCTGGCCGGTTTGACTGCCGCTGCTCGCCAGCTGCCGCTGGAGCCTGCCCCCGGTCTCCCCTCCTTCTAGGTTAGAATTACTAAGAAGCCTAATCATAGAATCTCGCCTGCTTCCGACAGCAGCCACTCCCGAGGAGAACCCCGCTGCATGAACCCTCCCCGTCACCACCGACAGAAGCCCAGGCCCCGTCACGGGTGTTTTCTAAACCCTCAGCTGAGCCAGCCTGTGTCCCCCCCCGAGGCGTGCTCTCCTGAGGTCCAGGAGTAACGGCCCCACCCTGCCCACCCTGCTGCGCTGTGGGTGTGTTCCTGGCGGGCTGATGGGGGCACCACCCAAGGCTTGAATGGTCCTTTCCCTTTGCACACACTTTCCAGAGCCTTCCACGGTAGACGGCCCACACAGTACACGTGTAGTCACCGCTGCACCAAAGCGGCCAAGTGTCTCGGCCCCTCGACCTTCGTCTGCCCGCCCTGCACACGCATTGCACCCCAGGAACCGCGATCATGCTGCGTGACACAGATCCCAGGGCCCGACTTGCCCCCGGCAAGGATTTTATTCACGTGCTCATCAAATGTGTGAGCAGCCCAAGCCTAGAGTCCCGTTTGGATGGGGGGGTGGGGGCTGTGTTCTGGGGACACTTTTGGTGGCAATTACTGTATCAGTCAGGGTCCCAGCAAGAAACAGATGGCATGCTCCGAAAGATAATTGGAGGAATTTTCGGATGTGACCGTTTACAAAGGAAGGGCAGAGTTAAGGAAGGAGCGAGGCACAGGGAGACAGGGAGGAATTTCAGCTCCGGAAAGCTGCTCCCTCCCCTCGAAAAGACAAAGAACAGTAACCAGGGCCCCTGCAGAAGGGCGAGGGGCTGCTGCCAAGCACAGGCCTGCACACAGAGGGCCCCAGCCCTGACCTCCACCGCGCCTCACTCCCCCCAGCCAGGTGATGCAATCCAGGGCGGGGCCAGGGGCAGGTGGGGGTGGGGCAGGGAGGGCAGACGGAGACTGTCCTCCCCGCGCACCGAGAGATCAGCAATAACCAGAGGACACAGTTCTGTCAAATCCCCTTGAAAATAGCAGCAAAAGGACGGGAGGGACACATAAAACCTTTTAAAAAGTGAGCCAGAGTGTTAGGGACGCGCTGGGAATGTCCCGGAGAGGCGAGAAGGCCCGAGCACGTGGAGGACCCCACGCCACACTCTCGGGCAGGAAGCCGTGGCCCGGTGGGCCAGCTCCGCCCACCGGTGCGCCCACAAAACAGCAATCCTCATTAAAATGCCAAAGGGCATTTGTTTGTTTGTTTTAAAGAAAACCAACAAGGGCCCTGGCTGGTGTGGCTCAGTGGATTGAGCGCTGGCCTGAGAGCCAAAGGGTTGCAGGTTTGATTCCCGGTCGGAGCACATGCCTGGGTTGCGGGCCAGGTCCCCAGTGGGGGGCACATGAGAGGCAACCACACACGGATGTTTCTCTCCCTCTCTTTCTCTCTCCCTTCCCCTCCCTCTAAAAATAAATAAATAAATAAATAAATAAATAAATATAAAGAAATCCAACAAGTGGGTCCTAAAGGAGTATGAAAGAACAAGGCTGAGCAATAGCCAGAACACTGCAGAGGAAGGAAGAAGGGCGGAGGGGACAGGAGGGGGCCTGAGGGGCGGATCCCAGGAGAAGCCGGTTGGGTCCCGCCACAGTGGTGACCGCGACAACGTGCAGGAGGCGGACCGAGGACAGCGCTGGCCCTGCAGAGCGGCGGGGGAAGGACACGTGTTTCAGTGCATGGGCTAGAACAATCGGCCAGCCTCACAGGAAAACTCACCTCGGACCCTGCCTTACGCCCAACAAAAAAGCAGCTCCTGATGGAACCGGCCCAGTCCCCAGCCGATGGGCCTGTTACCTCGGGAAAGGGCGAGACCGGCAGGGGCTGCCCCATGGCGAGACCCGCGCAGGAGGCGAGGTCTGGGGAAGCGGCGGGTCTGACGACAGGGGGCCTCCCGAGAGCCGAGCGTGGCACGGAGGCGTTCGGCAGACAGGACGGCCTGACGGCCAGGGCACCGTCCACGCACCCCCCAGAGAGGCGGAGGGAGCTGATGCAGAAGCAGGCCGCGGGTGGGCCAGCGAAGGGGGCTTCCAACCAGAGGGGGCCTGAGGAGCCATCGCAGGTGAGAACGTGATGAGCCGCCGCCACGGGGCTCTGGGGAGGGCTGCGGTGCGGCCACAGAGCCGGGCCGAGGGGGCGCTTTCGGCAGGATGTGTAGGGAAGGGACCGCGCTGCAGGCCAGGGGTCCAGCCTACGTGTCTCCGTCTTAAGCGCGGCCTGCGAAGGGGGCTCTGACTTGCACGTCAGCTCCTCCCACTAGCGGCTTCCACTCGGAGACTGGGGGCGGAGCCCGAGAGCCGGGGCCGCACGTCACCTGGACGACGTCACGGCTCCCGCCATCCTCCCCGCGTCCAGCGCATGTTGTCACGGGCGCCCCCCTCTCCTCGCCCTTTCTGGGTCCGGGTTTCACCTCCTCCTGGGGCACACGGGTCCCCGACAGGCGGCACTTTGGAGGGCTGAGTCTGTGCCAAGTGCTGCCTGAGGCGCTTCGTGCGTGTGCTCTCACTCACGTCCTTTACACACTCACCCAGCACTTGATCGCTTTGACTTTTGCTTCTTCATTTTCAGAGAGAGGGGAAGGGAGGGAGACACATCGGGAGAAAAGCATGGACAGGTTGCCTGTCGTGTGCACACCACCAGGGACCCGGCCCGCAACCCAGGCACCCGCCTTGACTGGGAGTCGAACCGGCGACCTCGTGGTTTGCAGGCCGGCGCCCCCTCCGCGGAGGCACGCCAGCCTGGGCTGTCTCATCTCACGTGGCTTGCACAGCCCACCGATGGCGAGCACGCTTTTGCCGCTGCATTAGAGATGAAGGTGACGGGCAGGTGAAGGGCAAGACGCTCACAGCCTCCGACGCCAGGGAGTGGCTACATTGTGCCCGGACTTCCGGTAAACCCCCAGGAGAAAGGGAGCCAGACGGAGGGGGGAACAGGTGCTGCCGCCTGGCGGTTCGAGCTGGGGGAGCCCCACGGCCTGACGATGAGGCACCCCTTTAGGTCAT